AGAACATCTACAAAAAAGCTACAGCTAATGTCATACTTCATGATGAGAAACTAGGTGCTTTTCTGCTAAGATCAGAAACAAGTCAAGGATGTCTGCATTCATCACTCCTGTTTCATATCATACTGAAATCCTGGAGAATGCAATAAGATAAGAAAAGGAAATAAAGATATACTAACTGGGAAGAAAGAATAAAAAACTATCTTTGTTCACAGATGGCATGATTATCTATGTATTGTGTAGAAAAAATCCCAAAGAATGAACAAAAAACACTCCTGGAACTAATAAATGATTATAGCAAAGTTACAAGATACACAGTTAATATAAAAAAAATAGTTGGTTTTTTATGTATCAGCAATGAACAAACGGTGTATGTAACTTAAAATATAATGCCATTTTTACACCCCTCCCCCAAAAGAGAAATACTTTGGTATAAATCTAACAAAATAACTACAAAATCTATATGAGGAAAGCTCTGATGAAAGAAATCAAAGAAAATCTAAATAAATGGAGAGATATTCCATATACAAGTGTAGGAAGACTCAATGCTGCCAAGTTGTGAGCTCTTCCCAGCTAGATCAATAATCAATGTAATGCCAATCAAAATTCCAGCAAGTTATCTTGTGGATATTGATACTAACGTTTATAAGGTAAGGCAAAACACCCAGAAAGACCAACACAATATTGAATGAGAAGACAAAGTTTGAAAACTGTTACTACTGAATTTTAAGACTTACTATAGAGCTGCTATAATCAAGACAGGGTGGTATTGATGAAAGAATAGCCAACTAGATCAATGGAACAAAAAACAGAGCCCAGAAGTAGACCCACATAAATATAGTCAACTGGTCTTTGACAAATGTACAAAGTAATAGATGGAGCAAAAATAGTCTTTTCCACCAATGCTGCTCAAACTAGACAGCTCCATGCGCACATACACACACAAGAAAAAAATAGACTCTACACCCAGACTTTATACTTTCCACAAAAATAAAGTCAAAATGGATTATAGATCTAAGTGTAAAACACAAAACTATAAAATTCCTAGAAACTAACAAAGCAAAATCTAGGTGGACTTGGATTTGGTGTTGTTTTCTCAGATACAACACAAAAGCATAATCTGCGGAAGAAAAAACTGTGATGTTTTATTTAAAATTTAAAATGTCTGCTCTGTGAAATACACTGTTAGGGAATGAAGGCCCATTGCCATGTGGCACAGAGGTAAGTGCTGGGCAATGTTGGAGAAAGTCCACGTGAGCCTGAGCACTGGGACTCGGAGACACTTCTTACCACCCCTGGGTCCTGTGACATCTGCAGCAAGCCAGATGGGGCAAGCACCCATTCTTAAAAGAGAGAGAGTTAGAGAGACAGGGAGAGAGAAAGAATAAATTTAAAAAATAAGCCATAGACTGATAAAATGTTTGTGAAAGACGCCTCTGATAAAGAAGTGTTGTCTAAAATATACAAAAAAAAAACACGTATAAAACTCAACAAGAAAACAAGCTCCTCAATTAAAAAACATGCACCAAAGACCTTAACAGACATTTCACCAAAGACAGATAGCAAATAAGCAGTTGACAAGATGCTCAATGTCATATGTCATTAGAAAATTGCAACTGAAAGCAGCAATGAGATACCACTACCTGTATTCCGTGGGGTCCATGTCAAAACCCATAGAATGTACTCCAAGGTGAACCCTAATGTAAAAAACAGACTTATTATGTTAATAATAACATATTAATATTGGCTCACCAATTGTAGCAAATGTACTACACCAACACAAGAGGTTGCATTTTCTATGATTCCATTTACTTAATGATATTCTTGAATTGAAAAAATTACAGATATGAAGAACATATTAGTGATTGCCAGAGGTTAAGCACAAAATGATAGTGGGGAGGAATGGATGTGGTTATCAAAGGACAACATCATGGATCCTTGTGGTGATACAAACTATATTGCATACATTTGTACACAAAATGGATATTGTATAATATACATTTATTATAATATAACATACATTAATATATAAATAATATAACATATATTGTGTACTATATAATACAATTATATTGTTTCAATAAGCAGCAGAATTGTAACTAGTCTGTATCCTCACTGTGTCAATATCAGTAGTGATGCATTAGTTTTGTAGGAACAGTTTTGTAAGATGTTACCACTGAGTAACATGGAAGAAAAAGGTATATGGTATCTCTCTGTCTTATTTCTTACAACTGCATGTGAATCTACAATTATTTCAAAAATTTTTTAAAAAAACTTTAATTTTACAAAAAGCCAATGCAGCTCCAGTCCAGCTCTTTCTCTTGGGTCATGCGCATTTGGAACCCAACCACCTCTATGTGATAAAAATGCCAATCAACAACATAGACAGGCCATGTGTAGATGCTTGGGCTGTAGCCCTAGCTGAGCGGCCAGGTGCCAGCTAGCATCAAGCACTAGGCCTGTGAATGAGCACGCCCACAGATGATTCCAGCCCCCACGCATCCTTTGAGCTAACTTGAACTTATGTGGAGCAGAGACTAGCTTGTCTTCATCAAGCCCTTCCCAAATTGCACATTTGTGTGCAAAATAAATGCTTGTTGATAAATGCTTGTTGAAGTTTTCAGCATATAATTTTAGAGCCATTTGTTACACAGCAATAGGTAACTGGAAAAAAAACCCCAAAAGGATCACTTTTGTCCATGAATGTTCCACGAGAAAAGAAGACAATGACTTTTTCATTGAATCTTGATGTTAAGCAATGATGGCAATTTTTGAAGTAGCTTTAAATTGTAGCTTTGAACAACACAGACTGGCTTCATTCCAATTGGTCTTAATTAGTGAGGTTTAATTATAGCTGTCATATCCCAAATTAAAAATTGGGCACATCATTTGGTTAAAGATTATTATGCCACTTACGGGCAGAAACAGGAGGTAATTTAAGAGATAGTTGGATATGAAAATGAAATGTCTGAGTTTTTCAGGCATGCTACAGATTATTTGAAATTAGGATTGTTGAACTGGAAGATCTAAGAAACATAAGTAGAAATATATTATTTTTGTCATATAATTATAAATTATGATTGCCACATAGATTATTATAAATTCTAAATTAACATAGAATATCAAAAATACATACATCTTACAACTGTAATTGATTACTAATACCAAGCATATACTCACTTCTGCTTGCAAATGAATCAGGCTACACACAAACCTCTCATGTGCGATTAGACACTTATTTTTGTTTTGTTGTAATTTTCTATGTTTAACATGACATGCATGAAGACCAGATACAAAATCAGGCTGGACCTAAGTAAGAGACACTTTCTCCCTTATCTTTTTTTGCCTGGGGATTTCTGGTTTAGCTGGGCAGATGCTATTTTCTCTCTGGTCCTTCTAGCATCCTCTTACATCATAACTGATGGTTTGTGGATCTATACAGATGCAGGCCACAAGAAGGTTCCCAGACTTTCTTCATACTCTTGGTCTCAAGGTTGAAAGTAAAAAATAGCTCAATAAAATTTCTCCCTTCCCTTCTCCCTTCTTTTTCTTTCTCCTTCCTTCCTTCCTTCCTTCCTTCCTTCCTTCCTTCCTTCCTTCCTTCCTTCCTTCCTTCCTTCCTTTCTTTTTCTTTTCTTTCTTTCTTTTAATATGCATATATTTTGGGGGGAAGACATTTGTAACACTATCCATTCCCTTCTTTTACATTGAGACACGTCTACATTGCCACATGCCTGGCCATATAACATGTGTGGTTTTTTTTTTTCTTTTTATGAGGGGATTCCAACTAAGTTTTGAATACTAATTTCCCCTCTGGCTAAATAATATTCTGGGAAAATTGCATAAATTCCATAAGCCTTGTCATTTGTGAAATAAGAATAATAAATGGCTCTTGGTCGGATTAATTGAGGTATCCTTTACTCCTGTCCCTTTCATCCTTCAAACCCTAAAAATTGATGTTCTAATGAATGCTGTTGATTGAGTTTGATTGGGATACTGGGGTTTCTGGAGGCCATGGTAGGGAGATTTCTGGGCAAGGGCACCACCAGCAAGGAAAAGCTCAGCGGTAGCCTGGAGCTTGGCGCTTTGGGGGACTCAAAGAGAAGCATGTATGATATTTTTTCTTTGCATTTGGAACTCTGTGAAGAGCAGGTAAAGGATGAAAGAGATGTGGGAAATACAAATAATAATATTAAGGAAATAAAAATAATGATATTAATAATATCCCTGTAATTCAAGAGAGCACAAGAAAGAGAGGGAAACAAAAAATGACTATATTATGAAAAATTATTACTTCAAAAAATTCATAATCCCAGTCCCTAACACACAATTTTTATTTTTCGATATCCTATCCTGGATCCTGATCATATAAATTTAGTGTTTCATGTGATTGCAACCTCAGCAAAACAAAGTTTGTATTTTAGGGCAAGATTAACATGTAATCCTGATGTCAATCTGCCCTTTTAAATTATTTTCCACATTAATTATTTAAGCCCATAATAACCAAGTCTAGCTTGTGTCTGTCTTAGTGTCTCATTATTTTGGTCACAGAAACCCTGAAGAATAAATCAATTTAGCATGTGTCTTCTTAACTCAAGCAACGTCGAAGCAGGCCAGAAAAACCACTTCTACTCTGAAGTAGGTGTAAATCATTCACCAAATTGCTGCATCCCTTTGGACTGAGTCTCCTGAGCAGAGGTTGGAGTTGAATGGCAACTAGTGTGTGGCCATTGGCCGGCAGGCGTCGCTTTGGGCCAGTAGGGGGCGTGTGAGCTCCTAGGCACCGGCCCGAGTAGTCAGCGGGCGTGGCAATGCATCCTTGACAGACAGCTAAGGATGCTGGCGAAGATGAGGTAATACCACCCCGAACTAGAAGGGCGTTGGGGTATGGGCACCTGTGTGCGCGACTGTGAGTGTGCGGGTGCGGGTGCGTGCGCGAGCGGGAGACATTTCGTGTCTCAAACCTGGCACTGCAGACACGGATCACGCTGCATTTTTAAAAAGAAGAAGAAAAAGAAGACAATTCAGTCCTGGGAGGGAGGTGTGGCAAAGTTGAGGCCGGGCCATTACTGCGGTCCTTGGGCCGCGTCATGGAGGGGCTGGGGTAACCCCCACGGGCGCGGATTTGCCTTAGTGTCTCTCTTGGGAGGAGCGATTCATTCTGGAAGCAACTGAGCAGAGCCACAGGGAGGGGGAGCTCTCGCCCAGGCGGAGACAGCAATTCGTGCGGCGAAGAGTGGGGAAGGGAGGGGAACGCAGCGAGCCATTCCCAGCGCGAGCGCGCGGCGAGCTCCCACCCGGGCGACTGCAGAGCCCGAGGCGCAACTGGTGCGAGGGCTCGGTCCTCGCCTGGCAGTCCGCTCCGGCTCGCGCCCGCCGGGTGGCTTGGCAAGGCGGGGGCCTGTTTGCAGAAAGCCGGACATTTGCATGAAGCCACCCGACCCCACGGAGCAGTGGCAGCGGCGGCGGCAGCGGCGGACCCCGGAGGCGGCGCGCGGTCCGAGCCAGGCGGCCCCGGTCTCCGGGCCCCGGTGGATGCGCGGCCGGGGAGCGGCCCATGGGCCGGAGCTGAGACTGCCCGGGGCGTCTGGGCGCGGGGCGGGGTGCGCGGTCGAGGCCCAGAGGCGGCGGCGAAGGAGGAAGCGGAGGAGGGCGGGCGCACCGAGCCCGGGAGAGGGACAGCGCCGCGCCGCCGCCGCAGCCCCGGGCTCGCCATGCTCCTGGCCTCGGCGGTGGTGGTCTGGGAATGGCTGAACGAGCACGGCCGCTGGCGTCCCTACAGCCCTGCCGTGAGCCACCACATCGAGGCGGTGGTCCGCGCCGGCCCCCGCGCCGGGGGCAGCGTGGTGCTGGGCCAGGTGGACAGCCGGCTCGCGCCCTACATCATCGACCTGCAGTCCATGAACCAGTTCCGCCAGGACACGGGTGAGCCGGCCGCCCCTGCCCCGCCCGCGCGCACCTCCCCTCCCCGCCCTGGGATTTCCCGCGGCGCGAGCCCACAGGGGCCCACCCAGTCTGCACCTCCGTGCTGTGGTGGCTCCCAGAGGTGGTCGTGGAGGGGGCGCTTCTTGCCCAAGATCCTAAGATTCCCCCTGCAACAAGCCCCAAGCAATTGATGCCAGTGTTCTGGTTATGCAAACCCAGCTGCACCCTAGCCCCTATCAACTCCTCTTTTACGCCCCCCTTTAAGCGCTTGGTGGACCCAGGTCCTCCCCGGTGGAAATTGTGACGCCACCTCGGCCACAAGCAATCCCAGCCCCTAGTAAAGGCTTCCTGCTCCCATCGCCCACACCTCGGCTGACCCTGCTTTGCCCGGGCACCCTTGGGCCTGCCGTACATCCTCCTTCTCACGCACCTTACTGCCTCTGCCCCCCTGTGTGGGGTGCCTTCCCACAGCGGGGTGCTGGGTGTGGGAACTGGGGAAGGAAGCAGAGATTCCCCGGAGGCTCTAGCGGCAGTCTCCAATGGGAAGGGCTGGGCTCCCTGGGAGGGGAGACTGGAGTTGGGGGATTCCAGGGCTTGAAGCGCCCTGGGTGCTGTGGCATCCGCCGGTGCGGCTGCTCGTGCAGTCCCAGGGCTGAAGCAACAGGCCGAGCAGATGGAGAGAGGGAGGGGGGCGGGCACCGGGCTCGGAATGCCTGGCAGGGAAGCCACTCCGCTCCCTTTGTCCGCGGAGGAGGAGGAGGAGGAGGAGGAGGAGGAGGAGGAGGAGGAGGAGGAGGCAGATTCCTAAGGAGAAACTGCCCCCAAGCTTCCTCCTTAAACCGTCGACTGTGAGGGACACTCCGGCCTCCCAGACCACAAACAATCTTCTTGTGAGATGCAAGTTGCCACTGTGGCCACCACAATCTCACTTCCCAGCTGACCAGCCTTCCCATCAGAGCAAGGAAGAGAGGCGGCAGGGAAGAGGTCAGGGTGGCGGGTCTTTGGTGGAGGGGCAGGGCAGAGCTGCCTCTTTGCTTGGCCCAGTGTGTCCAGACTTAGTTGATGACTTGGGACAAGTCTGTCTCCCCTAGTCTCCTCATGGGGGGCGGGAGGGGGTGGAGGTTGTTTCTGGAATTCTGGCTGGGCTTTCCCAAGAGTGTGCAGAGGAGCCTGGAGAGGCAGGTGTGGGGAGGAGGGACTGGAGAGGAAGACTGGGAGAGTCCCAGAAGGCCAGAGAACAGCTGTTGGAGCTGGGCATCTCAGCCCCCTTGGAAAGCCCCACATCCTGTGTGCTAATTAGGATTTTCATGGGAAAGGGGTAGCTTTCCACCCTCCTGTCCCATCTTTAGTCATGACTCCCAAGAACCTCTTTGCCAAAGACTTTGCAGTCACTGGCCCAGTGAGTAAAGTTTTCTGGGGAAAGGCTTCCAGACCTGTTACCATGGGGGGAGGGGAGAGGAGGCTTAAACGCTGGTGGGAAAGGGAGGGAGGTGGAGCTCAGATGGCTGAGAGGAAGAGGGAGTAAGGAGGACATGGGAGATTGAGAAAGAGGATTAAGTGTGGCTGAGGTGGAGAGAGAGAATGTAATTGTGTAATTTGGACAGAGGTTGTGGAGGTGAGAGATGAGGCCTCAGATTGGGGGGGGGGGGTGGACATGTGTCTGGAGAGGGGGTCAGCGGAGCCTTGGAGGTGGGACCAGGAAGACCAGCAGCTAAGACACCTGACAGGGAATTCCAGTCCTGCTCAAAATAAACAGGCAGGTGTGAGCTTTTCTATTTGAAACTAAGTCTCTGCAGCACATGGTGAGCCACCCTAGTGACATAAAGGTCCCAGCCCTTGTCTCACAGTTGGGAAAGGAGAAAGTTGAATCAGTGTTTAAGGACATGGTGCCTAGAAAGGGTCATGGCTTGAAGGGCCCTTTCTACAGAAGCGAAGTTCTGGAGAAAACCGGGTTGTAGGACAGAAGCCACCTCCCCCAGGTATGATTGCTCTTTCCTAAGGACAGGCTGACCACTACCTGGCGCTCAGTTTAGTTCAAGGCTAGGCACCAGTTGGTGGTTGGCCTCTCCATGGGGAAGAGTTTGCTGGTGCTCTGCAGACTTTAGACCAGAGGCAGAGAGCTGGACCTGGATCATTTTAAAGACTGCCTCGGGGTGTGTTTCGCATTCTTGTCTGTCTCCTCAGTGCCAGGCCCTGCACTGGGTGCTAGAGGCACTGGGCTGAATTCCCAGGAATGCTGTGTCTGTCAGGGAGCTTGTCAAAATAGAATAGGACTTCTGGGTTTCTGGACTTGGAGCCCCCTCCTCTCCATTCTCCATCACCAGAGACACAGTTCCTCTCAATATAGCTCATTGATGAGGCCATGACAGGGTAGGAACTTTAAACCACCAGCTCCCAGGCAACCTCGGCCAAGCCCTGGCAATGTCTAATTAAATTACCCACTGTCCCCTAAGCCATAGTTTGAAGCTGGGAACCAGAAACATCCCCATAAACAAAGGAGAGCTGGAAGTCCCCTGTGTAGAGGCAATTCCTCTCTTTTTTTTGTTGGCGCCTCTATGTGAGGACATTTCCTGAGATGGGAGCTTTGTTTTTTCAGAAGTAGCCTGCCCTAATGCCAAGGGAGTCCTCAGACTCTCAGCTTTCCTGGGCTCTGACTTCATCCAGCCTGTCTCCAGGGAGATACCTAGGAGGCTGCAGACACCCTCTGCCGCCTCTGTTTGCCCTGGACACTTCTTATCCCAGACAGCCTCCCAGTCAGAGCTTATTTGCATTCCATGCTGGTCTCCTCTAAGCATTTGAGGCTAGAGAATCTGGAAGAAGAGAAGAGATGGGGGCGTCTGGGTCTTGGCTGCTTCCAAAGGCCTCGGTTGGGTCCTCTTCACCTACAGTCATTTACCTTGCCTGGGCTAACCTCCTGCTGTAGGATAGTGAGCTCTATACTTCAGCATCACTCTCCTCTGCATCTTCCAATGCACCTGATCGCTGCCATCTCCAAGGCCCAGGCAGCAGGATGGAAGGGGAAACACCCAGACTGGGAGGGGAAGACATGACGCAGGCTCTCATCCCAGACTCATTGGCTTACAGTGTGACCTTGAGCAAGTCCCTTCACTGCTCAGGCCTCATTTTCCTCTGCAGAATGAAGAACAGGCTTAAGATTCCTTGTGGAATTTCTTCCCATCATGCAGATCAGCATGTGAGTGGGTTTGGCCCCTCCTCCAGTGATGCTGCTGCTTAGAAGCTGTGTGGTGTGAGGGAGGGATCTTTCCAGCTCAGAGATGTCTGTAGAGCTGTGGCCTCTTTTATGACTTTCATGTGGTGAAAGAGATTAAAGGGTTTGACAGAAGCTGATGCAGCTGATTTTTAGGCTCCTACAATGCCCTGAATCCTCTGTGAGCACAGGAATGGAGGAAGCAAAAGGAATGATGACCACGTGACAGTTACAATATAGTGATGCCCCAAGCACATTGCACACATTATCTTGTTTAATTCTCCAAGAGCCTTATGAAAGAACTATTGTTCCCATTTTATAGGAAAGGAAGCAAGTTCAAAGAGATTAAGTTATTCAAAGGTTTATAGCCAGTCAATGAGGGAGCTGAGGTTCCAAATCAATTGTTCTATGCTCTACTCCTTTAAGTGGTGAACACCAATGGAGCACCTGCTTCATGCAGTGCTGTTCTAGGCATGTGGAGTGCAGCAGTAACAAACACCTAAGTACCTAAGTTTTGCCCTCGTGAATCATTCTAGTAAGGGTGAGGGGTGCTGAGATTTCTTGGACAGAGTAGATGCTCTAACACAGTGTTGCATAGATGTGGATGAAATGCCCTAGAGACCTCAGGTCATCTTAGAAAGTGTTGTCTCCCATTTTCCAGAAGCTGAAATATCTTAGGTGCTTTGAAGTGCAGGTGTCTGAGTTGCCAAGAAAAACTGACTTTCTTTCTCTTTATTCCTCCTTAGTCTGGGAACATCCTTTATCTCGATCCCATTAGAGGCCTTTTCCTTGGATTACTGCACCTTTAGGATCCAGTGGATTTCCTCAGATCATCTAGTTCACAGTCCTGGTTATAGAAGGTCCAGGACTAGCCCATTCCAGATGGAATTGCCAGGTGGAATTAAATCCCACCATCTCTTTTGTCCCACAACTTTGGTTCTGAAGTCTGCCTTCTGTCTGTAATTAATCTGCTAGGACTGAACTGAACTCAACATTTTCTCCTTCCAAACCCAGCTCTTCATCTTGACACCCCTCTGCCTGTTATTTGTGCTTCCATTTTACCACTTGCCCATGGTCTAAACCCAGGACTGTTTGACACATCCTGTCATTCAGAGTCTTACTGGGGTGCTAGGCATGTGCAGGCACATAGACCATGTGGCCCAGCAGTTAGAACTTTAGTGTGCATGGGAACTCAGGGTGGCCCTCTCCCAGGACTAGAAGGCATTGTACCTCTAAAGATTCTGAAGCAGGTGATCCTGGAACTGCTCTTGGAAAGCATTCAGCTCCTCGTGGTCAAGTCCTACCCATTTCCTCTCTGTAGTGCCCTCCGACCTGTCACCTCCTTTTCATTTTCACTGCCAACACCCTCATTACTTCTCACTTAGACACAATTAACAGACCTGCTCTGCTCTTGTCACTTCTCTGTGTCACAAACTTCACTGGCTCCTTATTGTGTCCAAATAAAATCCATGACAGCTTAGCAGTCCTTTGTCATGTCTGACTATTGAAATTCTCCTTATATTCAGGTCTTATGCTATTTATCATCTATTTCTTAAAATGTTCTCCAAACCATCATTACTTTATTTAATATTTAACTGATATTTATTGAGCCTCTAGGACATTCCAACCATTGGGGGATACAGCCTTGAGCAAACACCTGGATGCCCACTCTTATGGGGTTGGGAGTCCAGTGGAGGGAGACAGACTTTCATCTAATTAATCACACAAATATATGTGTAATTGCACATCAAGATAAATGCTATAAGAAAAATAGGAGTCGGAATTTGGTCAAGGCAACACAGAGGAAATGTGAAGGATGAGCAGTGAGGAGGATTGCCTGAATGTTTGGCGGGAGGGACCAGCATTGTGAAAAGGTCCAGAGAAGCATGGCAGTGGACAGAGGGTGAAGGAGACTGGGGTGGCAGAAATGTGAGCAGAGTGGGGGGAGGGGATTTCCGTGCTGAACTCAGGGGAAGTCATGAAAAGGATTTAAGCATTAAGGATGTGGTCAGATTTTCTGCCAACAGGCATTTTGTTGGCACCCTTCCTGTGGCTATTCTGCCTCATAAATAGTCATTAGCATACCTGTCTTGTTTTAGACTGTAAGCTATTTGAGGAGTGACTAGGTCTTGGCATTCCTCACAGCACTAGTGGGTACTCAGTAGATGAGGCAAATAATGCAATGCCAAATTAGCCCGAAGTCGTCAATCAATCACAGCACTTTTTGGAGCCCTCATTATTGCCAGGCACTGCAGTGGGCACTAGAAAGCAAAGACCTGCACTGTGGTGACTGCTTCCATGTAAGGTGCCGGCATGAAAAGAGACCCTGGTGCACCCCAGATTCCTGACTAGGAGAACCTTTCAAGGGATGGGTGGTAAATGGCATAGGACCTGGATGGTCAGGAGAATTTCAATAGATTTTTTTTAAAAAGCAAAGGGGGGCATTTCAATAGAAGGGAACAGTAGGGGAGGAGGTCCAGGCACTCTGAGGGAACCCATGAGGGTAAAAGGGGTGTCTATTTGTCAGGAGTGGAGGCAATACAAGCACAAAAGAAGATAAACCTGGGATGGTTAGGGAGCCAGGATCTCCAGAAGCTCTGGGGCAATTCCCAGGCATCTCTGGGACTGGTAACACTGGTGTAAAAAAAAAAAAAAAAAAAAGCCCTCTAAGCACATCTGTGAAAATTGGTCCAGTACATTGTCTCTGCTACCTGGAAGGAATACAAAAGAGTGCCATTTAAGCTCTCTAAACTTCATTTCCTCATCTCTAAAAGGTGTTTCATAGGATTGCCATGAAGATCACATGGATTGTACAAATATGAGTTATATATAAAATTTCTCTTTCTCCTCCTCTCCCATCCTGCTCAGACAAATAGTAGAAAAAAATTACAAGAATAATCACCAACTTTTCTTGAGCTCTTGCCACGTGACAGGTGTTATTTCAGTACTTTATATTCATTTCTACACTTCATCCTCAAGTTCACCCTTTGAAGTAGCTTCCCCAGGTTCCAAACAGATGAGGAAACTGAGGCTTAATCACACAGCTGGAAGGGGCGGGTCCTCTGCTGTTGGACACAAAGCCTGTGTTCTTTGTTCCCCAGCGAGCTGGCTGCTTAGGAAGGAAATAGAAGCAAACCAGGGGACTATTGCCTCCCCGCTTCCTCCTGTCCTGCTAGCTACCCCATGTCCCCCAGCAGAGGTCCTGCTGCTGAATAGGGGATTGTTCTGCCTCTCCCTCCTGCCTCTGAATGTTGATGTTTTGGGTCATTAAGGGGGTTGGAGTTGGGGGGGGGGGGGCGGGTTATGACCCTGGCAAAGGCCTGAATAGCCATTGTTCCTTTTCTTCCCCCCTTGAATGGGATTCTGTCCCAAGTCCTGGTGTCTTCCTCTGGGTTGGAGGAGGGGTGAGTCAGAGGCCGGAGAAGGGGAGCCTTTTCCCACCACTTTGATGGCTAGGGCTCAAGATGACAGATTTGGCGATTCCAGCCACCCTGAAGGTTTCACCAGCTTCCCCATCCTGCCTTGAGCTGAGTTTCTGTAGCCTTGATGATATCCATGAAATGAAGTCTGAACTCAGGTTGAGGGTAGGTAGGGGAGAAAGAGGCAGCAGTTGGAGGCTTAGTATACCCTTCTTGTCCTGCAGGCTCATTTCTGCTGTACTGTTCCCCTGCAATGACCTTGGCCTTGTCCCTATCCCTAACCCCTACCTGCAGCAAGATTGTAACAATGAAGATGATCTCTTTAGGAGGGCTTGGGTTTCTTGAAAAAAAGACATTTGATACATAGAAAATCATTCTTATGACCATTATTGTTGTTGATATACGACTTAATGCTGGGAAATTTGGGCGTGTGCTCTCAACCCGGTTTTCCTGTCTCTTCTCACAATAACAGGCCAGGTCAGTGACCACTGTCTCTGGGCAGCCTTTCCCCACAGAGGCAGGGCCTTCCTGCGCCCTCTAGGTTTCCATGGCCCTGTGTTCCTTTCATCCATAACCCTAGAGGCAGGAACATTTAGAGGGATAAGGGAGAAAGGATATGATATTTATGAGCACCTACTGGGTGTCGAGAGTATGATGTGCCTTAGGGCCAAGAGAAATGCAGAACCTGGCATGTACAGGTGTGTATTTGTTGAGTTAATGAGGAGTCACACTTGCTTTTCACAAAAACTCAGCAAAGGAGCCATCAGGTTTCTCAAGGGAGAAAAGGAGGCGGAGGGGTCTACATTAGCTAGTAAGGGAACAAACTTGGCTGCAGATCAAGGTGTCCCCACTCCAAGCCAGGAGTTGCTGCTTCTGGTAGCGGCACTGCCTCCCATATCCTTTGCCTTATAACTCATCTGTTTTCACCCTGATGTGACTAAGAGACAGGAATGAGTCTCATTCATAGCTGATATCTCAACAGGCAGCCCAGTGCCTGGCACACAGTAGGACTCATTTGATACTTGCCTATGAATGAAACAGAATTCCTTTTCTTTCCTTGCTGACCCTGATCCTCTCCTCTATCCCCCTCTGGCAGGGACCCTCCGCCCAGTTCGCCGCAACTACTACGACCCATCCTCGGCCCCCGGGAAGGGCGTGGTATGGGAGTGGGAGAACGACAACGGTTCCTGGACGCCCTACGACATGGAAGTGGGCATCACCATCCAACAGGCCTACGAGAGGCAGCACCCCTGGATCGACCTCACTTCCATCGGCTTTAGCTACGTCATTGACTTCAGCACCATGGGCCAGATCAACCGGCAGACCCATCGCCAGCGCCGCGTCCGCCGGCGTCTGGACCTCATCTACCCCATGGTCACCGGCACCTTGCCCAAGGCCCAGTCCTGGCCGGCCAGCCCGGGATCAGCCGGATCCGCGGGATCAGCTGCCTCACCACCTGGCCCGCCCTGCTCTTGCCCGCAGTGCGTCCTGGTGATGAGCGTCAAGGCAGCCGGGCCCCCGCAGCCTCCAGCAGCCCGCAAGAACGTGCCCCCATCCGGAGCGGTCAAGCTGCCCCCACCACCACCAGGACCTGGGGCCAAGCTCCTGGACAGCACGGGCACCATCCGAGGCCCCGTGAAGATGGCCCCATCCCAGCCAATCCAGCGACAGGCTGCCAGCACTCCGGCAGGGGCGGCTGTGGGCTCTCCTGCCAGCCCCCCGGGGACCAACGGCAAGACAGGAAGGGTGGCCCTGGCGACCTTGAATAGGACCAACCTGCAGCGGCTGGCAATGGCACAGTCCCGGGTGCTGATCGCCTCTGGGTAGGTGCTTGCATGGCTGCCTCGAGTCTCTACTCCCCAGGCAGAGCAAACGATGGACTTTCCGCTCCCTGTCATCATGTCCTACCACCCTACCTGCAGGTGGATGAGGAGGCTTCGGCCTTTGGGGCGATTCTAATGGAGACTTTGCCTCTTACTGGCCCTGAGATGGGGCAGTCCCTCACTTCCTCCTCTGTGAGTTCTGGCAGCCATACCCACGTGGGGGTTGCTGTGAGGACTAAAGAGACCAGGTGTGATTGTAATAGCAGGCTACATTAATTGTGCACCCAGGTTGTTCCAGTTTGGGCAGTAGGGGGTATCACCTCATTTAATCCTTCACAGCAGCTCTGTGAAGTAGGCAGCTTGACCCCATTTTACACATGAAGACACTACCAGTTAACCTGCTCAAGGGCACACAGCTAATCATGTCCAGAGACCAGGATTCACACTTTAGAAAGTCTGATGGCAGAGCCAGACTCTGTCTGACTCTGCAGGGCCCCTTCCCTGTCCAGCATACACCACGGTGCCTGGCATACAGTAGGTGCCAAACAAGGATTTGTCCCTTTCCCTCCGGTCTGTGTGGCAGCTGGAGGGGTGCCTTCGGATTGGAATAACAGCCCATAGTAGTGAGTCCTTACCATGTGCTGGACACATTCCCTGAATTGTCTCAGTTAATCCTGTGACGTATGTTTTATAAGTATTGCTTTTTATGATCTCCGTGATCTGCTCGACCATAACATGGGAGAAACCCAGGGCCATGCAGTGCCCACAGCCTCTGCCTGCCAGCCCTGGTTTCTTATGAGATTGGCTTCTCAACGTCACCCAGTTTCCCTTTCTCCAGAGGCACCTGGCCTGTAGCCCAGGAGCCCCAGGCAGTAGGGATGGTTAGGGTTAGACTGGACACCTGAGTGTGAAATTCAGGCTGCCCAGAGGGTGATCTCTGCACATGGATATTCAGCCCTGGGAGGAGTGAAGGAGGGTATACCATAGACTGGGGGTATACCTTCCTCTGCCACTGGGCAAGCCACAGAATCTCAGCAAGGTCCAGTTTCCTCACGTGTGAAATGGGGATCATCATGCTTGCCCTGCCTGCCCCATGGGTCATCGTGAAAACCTTTACCACGTGCACTCCCCAGCTTTATCCCATTCCCTTGCCCTGTGATGCAAGTGTCAGGCATGCATTAGCTCCCCAGGGAGAGCCCCATAGCTGAGTGTTACACACAGAGTGGGCTGGGAACCTAAGTTTTAGTCTCCTAATCCACTGTTCTTGTTGTTTTGGTGTGTTGTTACTTTTTTATTTTATTTTTTGCTTAAGTCTGGCTCCTCAGTTATGGGAAAACAATTAACAAAATAGTCAAATACTGGTCAGGTGCATGGGATTTTCATATGACTTCCTCTGAGTGGGCAGAAGTATGTGGGAGAGGGCACTGGGTACCTAAACAGTGCCTCCACTCAATGTCTACTCACTGTCACACAATAACGTCTTGGGGGCCTCTAACAATTCAGAGTGATTGCTGGCACTTGTAAGAACCCAGCCTCCAGAACTGACTGCCTAGACTTGAACCCAAGTTCCTTGCTGTGTAACTTGGGGTAAGTTTTGCATCCTCTTGTCTTCACTTTGTTCATCTGTAAAATGGGGATAATAATAGCACCTTCTTTATAGGATTATCATGAGGATTAAATGAAATATTTGGTGTATAGATTTAGCACAATGCTTGATACATAGTAAGAGTTGGGTCAGAATTAGCTGCTATTGCTGTTATTACAATTATTCTCAGGTATCTATTGAATATGCACTATGTAGTTGTTGAATTGAAGTCAAAGCTGAGCAGCCTTACCTCATTTCTGGCACCCTTGACAAATGCCAAGTGACCCCATGCCATAATTGAGGGAAAGGAAGCCCAGATCGCTTTAAATCCCAATGAGGGAGTCGGCAGCTCTTTATCTCTCTGCTTTATTCCCTCTGCCAGCCAGTAGAATTGGAGTGAGAGAATAGGCTGAAGGGCCGGCCAGTGCAGTTTCAAAAGAGCTATAGAAACAAGTTGTTTTTTTCTCTGCTCTGTTTTCCTGACAAGGGAGGCCCCTCCCTAGCTTCCAGCCCTTTTCTTTTCACCTCTTACCACCTCCCTCACCCCCACTACCATCTTCTGCTCCAGTCTTTCTTGGCCATTTAATTAGCGTGTTTATTCCCTTTGTCTGGCATTGCCATCGACCTTCTGTCGTCCAGTGGCCCCTCCCCACACCCCTCGCTGCCCATGACCTCTTCAAGAAACTTTCCCACGGAAAAAAAGAAGACCAGGGAGGGTGGGAGAGGTGGGATAGAGAGAAGGGTTTGGGGGGAACAAAAGACCCAGTAAATTATTCAGGGACACAAGCAGGGGGCTTCTAAAGGGAAGAGAGAGGGGGGCTGTACAGGGATGGGCGAGAGGCGCCCCTCTGGCCCTCTGCTCCAGAATTGAGGCTTCTCTATCTCCAATGAGGCCATAGTTGCTGGAGAGACAAGACCATTGTTCTGCCTGAGGATTCCTGGGTTGGCTCATGACTTCAAGAGAAACACTGGCTCTCACCAGGGCATCTGCAGAGCTGTTCTCCCGTCTTCGACTCCCCTCCCCTGCCACCTTACCAGCTCTTCTCTTTTCCTAGTTTTATATTTTAGGGACAGAAATTAAAACTTGCACCCTTCATACCTGGGATCAACCCAACAGAATGGGGGCAGGGGAATTGTCTTCTGATTGGTCAGCAAGTGGATAGGCCAACAGCTTTGGCTGAGCTGAGTTGCCTGGAGGACTTGGAAGCATGCCTGCCACCGGGCTGCTGATTTCCAGAAGGAGGGTTCAGGCATATGGAGCTGGGGCCCCAACAGGGTATGACTGGTGTGGACTATATAGGCCAGTCTCCATGGCTCTCATTTTAACCAATAACAGTGGGGGTGGGGTGGCCAGTTGTTGCTAACTCGACAATCCTAAGGACTGCCCAACACGCAACTTGACACTTTACACTTGATGCCCTCAAGAACCTGAGAAAATTGGAATATTACAGCAGGAGAAGACTGTATCAAGCCCAAATTCCTCTCACAGTTGGGAAACAAAAATGTAAATAATCACCCAAATTTGCATAGGGCTTGGCTATTTACAAAGTATTTGCTCCAGATCCTCCATCCTCAAAGGGGCCCCAGCCAGCAAGAGCAGAGAGGCTGTGGTGGCCCTTCCAAAGGCACATGTCACATGTCGCTGCTCAGCTGGATTGGAAGGCGACTTCCAGGCCCCTTGGCTGGGGGAGGGGCTCCTTCCTATATAGCCTTCTGTATTTCATAAACAAATATTCCCTTCTTCCCCGAGCCCCAGTGCCACCAGAATCCAGTGACAAACCCTTCTGCCATGCTCCCCTTTCCTGGCATAGCAGGGACACCCACCTCTCCCACAGTGTTCCCAGGAGTCCCAGGTGTAGACCCTCCCTCTCTCCAGACCTTGCTTCTCCCCAGAGTTCTTGGGCTGCCTGGGGGGTTGCTGTGCGGGTTGGAATATTTCCTGGTTAAGCAGATTGGGTGTGGAAACCTGCCAGTCCAGTTTATGGGAACAAAGGTAGCTTTTGTCACCCAGATCACAACTACTTATCAGCGGGAGTGGGGGCCTTGGAGTGGTGAAGGGGTCAGGCAGGTGCGGGGCTGAGTGGAGTGCTGCCCCCTGGTGGGGAGCAGGACAGGCACAGGAGGCCAGGCCTCCACTCCCAGCCTCTGCAGCCCTGTGAGTGAGGACTTGGTGTGAGGAGGACTTGGTGTGAGGAGGACTCGACTCCGCTGTGGGTGGAGAACTGAATTCTTGAGTACTGGGGTGGGAAATTGTCAGAAAATCTCCTTAGCATCTTTTAACCCCAGTTCTTCACAGGTCTATAGATAAGGATGCTGAGGCTCAGAAAAGTTACTGGACTGTGTGAGGTTTACTGGCAGGATTGGGATTTGAAACCAGTTTTCCTGCCTCCCGGCCCACCATATCATGCCTGTCCCCGAGGAGCAGGTCATAGGATCCAGAATCTAGACCATACTCTTTTCCTGGCCTACATTCCCTTGTTTTGAATTCCCCTCCCCCTCATCTGGTTTGATTTATCCTAAGGACAGTTTCTGGGGAAAAGTATCCCTTAGTGGCCTGCTGAGACACAAATACTCCCACATCTGTTGTTTCCACATCCTTCTCACAACGCTGTGCACATGTCATGGTCCCTGGGCAGGGACAGGGGCCCTGCAAGACTCAACATCACCGGAGAAGCACCCCCGGGCATGTGGGGCTCAGGCAGATCCACTGCCCAGCCTTGAGGTCCCATCTGAGCTCTGCTGCCTCTTAGATGTGTGAGTATTCCTTCACTCTCTGAGCTTCATGTACTCTGTCTGCAGTATCAGGTGACCAGATGATGTAGTAGACATAAGAGCACAGCATCATAGGCGGCTGGGCTCTCGAGCCAGATTTCCTGCATTCAGATCCTTAGCTGTGTGATCTTTATCAAGTTGGCTTAACCGCTCTGTGCCTCAGCTTCCCTGCCTATTAAAGTAGGGTTGATCATAATAACACCTCTTGCGTAGGTTGCTGGAAGGATTGGGTGACTTACGTATTGTGAGCAGTGAGACGTGTCGGGTACAAGGCAGGCTCTGTGCATGTTAGCAATTATAACACAAGGATAAAGGCTCCTAGGCTGTCTTGTTCACTGCTGTGTTCCTGGCTCAGTATGAATGGGCAAATAAACAAATAATAAACAATGTAAGTAAACGAACCAACATGCTCTCTTTCCCTCCTCCTGTTTTCCCAGCACCACCCTACCCCCATAGCAGAACTGCCGGCTTCTCAGGCTGCCTGGCTCCTGGAGTCATCTGTGACCCGGTGCATTGGCCTCTCCAAGCCCACATCTTCCTCCAAGCCCAGCTGTGGAAGCCTGGGTGGTGAAGGGGGTGGGGAGAGATGGCGCAAGACTGAGCCCCACATGTCCCCTATTTTTCTAGTTGGCGCCGGGAGACCTCGTCTTTCCAATGCAGCTGTGCCGTCTCCTCTCCAGCTTGGCTTGAGTTGCTGGGAGAGGAACAGAGAGAGGAGGAGGTTTTGCCTGATATTTATATTTCTCAGAGAGTGGGAGAAGTAACAGCTGTTGGAGCAATGGTTTCCAAATGTTGGACTGGGGATTGGTGGCATCTGCATTCTCTCCGCAGAAGCGTGTCAAAATGCAAGTTCTTGTGCCCCAATGCGGGCTTGGGGCTCTGGCTCTTTCAAAGCTTCTTAGGTGACTCTGATGTCCACCAAGGTTTGAACTTGTTTCTTTATTCTTTCATTCCTTCAGTAACTGTTCATTGAATGCCTGCTAGTGTCAGGCTTCTGAACAAAACGGACAAAGAAATTTGCCCTTGTAGAGCTTAGATTCTAGAAGGGGAGATAATAAGAAACAACTTATTTTAAAAAATTATTAATTCCATGGGGGGAAAAATTAAAAAACACAGCAATACATGAAGGTTTGGGGGTCCCAGGGTGAGATGGATAAGCTGATAGCAGTATTAAATAAGATGGTCTCAGGAACCTCACTGAGAAGGCAAGATGTGAGCCAAGAGTGAAGGAGTTATAGGAGGGAGCCAGGACTGTCTCTGGTAGAAGAGCATTTTAGGCAGAGGGAACAGCATATGCAAAGGCCCTGAGGCTGGATGTGCCAATCATGTGGGAGGAACAGGCAAAGAGGCAAGTTATATGAGGGAGAGCAGAGAGAGAGGAGGATTGGGGTGAGGAGCATGGACAGAACATTCAGGGCTGTGTAGGCCTTGCTGAGACTTTGAATTAACTGAGGAGAGCCATTCTGAGTTTAAGGTTCTGAGTAGAGGAGTGACATGGTCTTAGTTTGGAAGATATCACCTCTGGCTATGGTGCTAATGATGCTTTTGTAATTAGCTAGTTATTAATAATAAAAAAGGAGCAAGGGAAGGCCAGACATTATAGGCATGGTTATATGAGCAGCTTCACTAGGAAGCTGCAACTTTGCACTCCCCAAGGAACCACTGGCCCATTCCCTGAAGATTACTGGGGGCAGGGTTCCAACAAAGAGGAGATAGACGCATACGCAGTAAGGTTGGGGTGACTAGGGAAGAAAGATACTTGCCTGTAGGTCAAAACTGGGGAACCATGGATTGGCCAGAATGGGTGAAGCCAATGCAAGCCCACGAAAATTTTGGAATACACAATGCCCTAAACCAGTGGTCGGCAAACTGCGGCTGGCGAGCCACATGCGGCTCTTTGGACCCTTAAGTGTGGCTCTTCCACAAAATACCACTTGCGGGCACGCACCTACAGTGCTATTGAAACTTCATGGCCCATGCGCAGAAGTCAGTATTTTGTGGTAGAGCCACACTCAAGGGGCCAAAGAGCCGCATGTGGCTCACGAGCCACAGTTTGCCGACCACTGCCCTAAACGAAGGAGTTCTCTCTCTTGTTGCTCCTGACTCTTGGTTCTTGGCTTCCTTGCATTTACCTGTATGGCCCCTGGCCATGCGGGTGCCATACACAATGGACTAAGCGGGAAACCTAAGCCAAGCTAGCCTGATGCTGGACCGGACTTGCCTCCAACATGGTAAGGAAACTCTGGACACTGGCTTTGATTTTAACTCTGCTGAAGCCCCAGCTACACTACTTCTATGACTGGACTGGAGGAAATGGGGCCTTGGAAACTTCAGGGAAATAAAACTTTCTACAATATCTCATCCTCCTGTGCGAGTCTCGGAAAATTCTTTCTCGGGATATTGCAAGAAATCCACCCCCACTAGCAATAGGCTGGGACGAGGACCTCTCCCCACTGGTCACACTAAGAACTTCTTGCCCTTTAGTTGGGACGATTAGTTTCTGTAAGAAAGGGAAGCTCTTCACTGGGGGAAATTTTGAGGTCCCACCACTGACTCATTTTGTCCCACTTGTTAAAACCATAATGCATCTGCTCTTTCCTTCCACAGGGTCCCCACCGTCCCAGTGAAGAACCTAAATGGGTCCAGTCCTGTCAATCCTGCCTTGGCAGGTAAGAGAAACCCTGGGCTAGTCTTGCTGAAGGTAGAAAAATGAGTAACAAAATAGGTAGTGAGCATTTGTAAAAGAGAGAGCATTTGGATGTTAATTAAAACAAATGGGGATTTTAGGAGTTGAGTTGGATGAGTAGAAAGAACTTGGGGAGAACTGATTGCTAAAAGGAAAGCATGTTGTTGAAGAGGAGTGAATGAATCTGTTTCTGGGAAAGGTGGAGGGTAAGTAGAGAATCCCTGAGTTATGAGAACTCTGTGGAGAGGAGAAGAGGAGGTTAATGGTGAGGGAGGAGTTGAGGGGGTGTTGGGAAGCTAACTCCCCAGTCCTTCCTGACACCTGCTCTGCCCTTCCAGGCATCACTGGGATCCTCATGAGTGCAGCGGGGCTGCCTGTGTGTCTCACCAGGCCACCAAAGCTGGTCCTCCACCCACCCCCCGTCAGCAAGAGCGAAATAAAATCCATCCCAGGGGTTTCCAATACAAGCCGCAAGACCACCAAAAAACAAGCCAAGAAAGGTATCAGCCTCCTTAGCTTCTGGCTTCTGGCCCTGGCTCTGCCTCCACCACTGAGGGTCATCCCCATGGCTTACCCACTCTGTGCCTTAATTTCTGCATAGGCTAAACAGGCCTAACTCGAACCTGTTCTGGTGATTATACCACAGTGGAGTGTGTATGGATCAGATGGAGTCTTCTTAAAAATATAGCAATGCATATTTTTATATTTCTAAAACTATAGAAACAACTTATTTTAAAAGATTATGAGTTCCATGGGGGAAACTCACCACCCACTTTGCCACCTAGTGTGACATGAATGAAATATGTTAGAGAGAAAGACCACCTTGGAATTGGAACTAAAATAGACTAAATTAAAGTCCCAACTTTGTCACTTGCAAGTCATGACCTCAGAGAACCTCTGTTTTTTTCCCCTTTACTTGGAGTGAAACCAGTCACAACCAGTATCCAACAAGGATGTCTTGGAATGCATCCGTGACAGTTGGGAAGTGGCCACTATTTTGTGTCCCTCTCAAGCCCCCAGACACTCTGGCCACTTGAACCCCCATTCAGGAGCCCCTTCCTACGTGCCCACAATCCCACAACGAAGGGGTCCATACCTGTGCCTTCCCTGGTACCAAAGGAACCTGCCTTAGCCCTGTGGCTGGTCTTTCTGGTCACTGGTATTAGTGGCTCAATGTGTTGACTGTCACCCTTAAGCCCCCACCTTGCAAACATGTTATGCAGCAGGACAGTGGAAAGGAAGGGCCGGCATTGAGCTTTGGGCTGTTGCCCGGTCCACTTCCTCAAACCCTTGTCCTACTTTTCTAGTCTATCAGACTTTCTCTGCTTAAGTGAACTCTATTGCCTTGCTCATAATCTGATAGGAAATGACAGGAATTTGCACTTTCCCACTCTTCCTGTTGTTATTAATAGCACATATTGGATCCTTAGCTGGCAATGTGCTAAAAGGGCTGTATGTCCATTAGCTCATTTAATTGTCAAAACTGCTCCTTGAGTAGATGCTACTGCCCCTCCCCATTTTATAAGTGAGAAACGGAAGCTTAGAGAAGTTAAGAGGAGGCACTGACCCTTTTTTCCTTCTCTGCCTGCTTGTGAGGCCGGATCATCTCATTCCCTGCCTTCAGGCTGGGCTGTCTCCAAGGGGTCCAGTCCCCAAAGAAATTCCACAATCATTGCACCTGGCAGGGTCCTTCCCAGAGCATCAGCCTTTCCCTGATGCGGGGCTACATCTACTGGCAGCGACCACACTCTCAACAGCCAGGGAAGACTGTTCTGAAGCTGTGGTCACAACCTCCTGGTTTCCCATGGAAATAATATCACTTTGATGTCACATTGCAGATCAAGACAGTGCTTGGCACATTCTACCTCATTTTTTTAAACCTGTAACAGTGTACAGAGTTCTTTTATTTCTGCTCTTATCACATTGTTTGGGCAGGTCGAGGCTCTTTGATTATATGAAAGAGAAACCCACTCAGTCTTTCTCACTAAAAAGTGGGTTTGTTGCAAACAGGCAGGGGGATGTCAGGGAAGTGATGCAGGAGGTAAAGGCAGGTGGGACCACTTCCTACCTCCTCAGACCACCTCTCTGCCTCTTCTGCCCCCTGATTCCCTTTCAAATTCTTAAATCCCATTGCAGAACGAATTCGTTTCCTCTCCTGCTGTAAGCCTGGCTGGTAAGGTTCTCCTCTGGTATGTCCAGCGTGGTGAGGCTATTTGAACCCTTGTTTCAGTCTCAGGGTGCACTGACCATCCTGTCCCCACAGGTAAAACCCCAGAAGAAGTGCTGAAGAAGTATCTGCAGAAGGTCCGGCACCCGCCAGATGAGGTGAGCGCAGGGGAGGCAGGGCAGGGCTCACCTTCTCCATCACCCACCAGCATTTCCTCCTCCGGAGTTTTCGCACCTAGCAGCAAGAGCAGCTTTCTAAGTCCTGACAGGTCCAGAACTGTTCAGATGCACTCCCATCTGGGCTCCGAGCTCTCATCTCCTCATTCAGCAAAGAGCTGATTGATTCTAAACTACCTTAACATGACAGTCTGAATTTAAGAAAAGCAGAATGATGAGTAGTTGGAACTGACTTTAAAATGGGCTTGATAAAGATCAGTGGTTCTCAACCAGAGGCGGATTTGCACAACTTTGGGAGTGGGGAGAGGGGATGCTACTGGTATCTAGTGGGTAGAGGTCAGGGATGCTGTTAAACACCCTCCAATGCCCAGAACAACCCCTGCAGCAAAGGACTATCCAGCCCCCAATGTCAATAGTGCCAAGGGTGAGAAACCCTGTTATAGCTTTCTTTAAAGAGCAGACACTCTAGTACACTAGAATTATAATTCCTTTACCCTAGTTCAGCTTTAAAAAAGCTTATCAATGGGCCTGTCAGCAGACATTCGTTTCCTTTACAACCCATGGAAAAACACCAAGGAAGGACAGTGTATCGTCCCAGCTCACAAGGAGATTGTAATTTTGTTGGCCAGCTCCAAGTTAACAGGCACTGACACCAGGAATTATTTCCGGAATTCTTCTGTTGTGTAAAGCAAGACAAAACTATATTTAGATTCCCAAAGGCACCTATACCCTAGTTTGTGGGCTTTCTAGAAGAGGACCCGTGACAGCTCACCTGATCATTTGGGAACCAGTGTGGGGATGCTCCAACTTCCCAGGCTGGAAGAGGCTTGACAGCCTGTCTGCTCTGTCCCCTGCCACCCCCAGGACTGCACCATCTGTATGGAGCGCCTCACAGCCCCCTCAGGCTACAAGGGCCCGCAGCCAACGGTCAAGCCTGACCTGGTGGGAAAGCTGTCCAGATGCGGCCACATCTACCACATCTACTGCCTGGTTGCCATGTACAACAATGGCAACAAGGTGAGTGCCAGCCTTTGGGGCTGCTGCCACCTCCCGCACTGGGCCCTGGAGGAGCAAGAGCATGAAGGCTCTCTTGGAGTTGTGCTCCAGGTGATGTAGGAAGTCTTAAAGGCATCCCAGGGCATCAGCAGTGATCATCTTGGCTGTTCTCAGTAAGATCCGTCCTCCACAAAATTATAATGTTGCAAAACCTATCTTTAGCCTGGCTGGCATGGCTCAGTGGTTACGTGTCAACCTATGAACCAGGAGGTCACAGTTTGATTCCTGGTCAGGGCATATGCTTGGATTTAGGGCTCGATCTCCAGTCTGAGGCATGAAGGAAGCAGCCAATCAATGATTCTCTCATCTTTGATGTTTCTCTCTCTCTCTCTCTCTCTCTCTCTCTCTCTCTCTCTCTCTCTCTCTCTCTCTCTCCCTCCCTCCCCTCCCCCCTACTTCTTCTCTTAAATCAATTAAAATATATATATATATATTTTTTAAATATATTTTATTTACTTTCACAGAGAGGAAGGGAGAGGGATAGAGAGCTAGAAACATCGATGAGAGAGAAACATCGATCAGCTGCCTCCTGCACACTCCCCACTGGGGATATGCCCGCAACCAAGGTACATGCCCTTGACCTGAATCAAACCTGGGACCCCTGAGTCCTCAGGCCGACGTTCCATCCACTGAGCCAAACCGGTCAGGGCTAAAATATATTTTTAAGCCCTAGCCGGCTTGGCTCAGTGCATAGAGCGTCGGCCTGCGGACTGAAGGGTCCCAGGTTCGATTCTGGCCAAAGGCACATGCCTGGGTTGCGGGCTTGATCCCCAGTCGGGGGTGTGCAGGAGGCAGCCAATCAATGATTCTCTGTCATCATTGATGTTTCTATCTCTCTCTCCTTCTCCCTTCCTCTCTAAAATCAATAAAGAAACATATTTAAAATATATTTTTTTAAAAAAACAAAGCAGCCCTAACCGGTTTGGCTCAGTGGATAGAGCATCGGCCTGTGGACTCAAGGGTCCCAGGTTCGATTCCGGTCAAGGGCATGTGCCTTGGTTGCGGGCACATCCCCAGTAGGCGGTGTGCAGGAGGCAGCTGATCGATGTTTCTCTCTCATCGATGTTTCTAACTCTCTATCCCTCTCCCTTCCTCTGTAAAAAATCAATAAAATATATTTTTAAAAAAATAATAAAAAAAATAAAAAACAAAGCACCTGTCTTTTCCTTCCCTGTGGGCTGTGCTACCCAACCCCCCAATCTCTACACTAGGCATGGTGGTCTGAGAGGTATAGACTTCTGTCCCTGAGGTTTTTGAGGGGAATGGTCATTGTCATGGCCCATTGCTAGGTGAAATGAGCCCCATCAATGAAGGAGAAGGAAGTTCTCATCACAGCACTGGGCCCATGGTGAGTGTTCATTCATACTGACATAAATGGGTTTCCTGATCATCCTTCCTTCTCTGAGACTAGTGATTTCCAGTTGTAATTCGCTTTCTTTGAACATTTTCAAACACCCTTGAATGCCCTTCAAAGGCATTATGGACAGTTGCCAAGGTCGGCCTGGACAATCCCCCTGCTGGAGGCAGAGAGGCTGCGATTCCCGTCTTGTCCATTACTGAAGGTGGTGTGGTCTTTCCTCCGTTAAAGCTGGTTTCTGGGAATCTGGGAATGTCCTTGGATGATAACCCTCTCCTTACAAAGTCCCAGCTTTTTCTAAGTCCTTGTCTTTTCCAATGTTCTTTCCTATACCTGGAATAACCTTTAACCCCCATTTCCATGAATTCAAACTGTATTTGTTTCTCCAGGCCCAGCTTGGATTGCTTCAGATCTGAGATTTCCCAGATCTCCTCCAACCTCTTACTCATCCAAAAAATGTCTGGCTTTCAGGGGGCAGCTGTGTGCTTCTCTTGCTGTGGGAAAGAGTAGAAGCAAGAGAGACAGCTGACCCAAGATTGAACCCTAGCTTAGTAGCTGAATGACCTTGGGCAAGATTTTCAACTCTGAGGTTTCATTTTCCATCTGGAAGATGGAGATAAAACAATGCCTAGTTTATAGGGTGTTATTACTCGTATGATTCAAATTGATTCCTCCTTTGTGTTAACTATGGCTATAATTTTTCCCTTCATCTTTATGTAACCTTATGATTGATTTTTCAAGGTGCTGGGGACCTTTCTCAATGTCTTAGGAAGTGTATGTTCAGTCACTGATGGGTGATGCATATCTGGAACCCTTGCACACTTTCCTGACCCTAAAGTAAAAGGTTTCTTTGGGATTCTGCATTTTTAGAGGTTGTTTTGGGTTTAAAGGGATTTCTTAACACACTTCCTTTCTGATGACTATATTCAAGACTAATCTAGTACCGCTTTCCATTGATTTCCATGCTTCTTTAAAAATATTTCTTTAGACACTATTCTTTATTCTTTTTGGCACTAATACTTTGAAGCATGTGGGTGTGTTGTTGTTGTTGTTGTTTCTTTACACAAAAGAGGAGCAAAAAGGACCCAGAGAGAAATGGAGTGATTCACTCAAGGTCATGAAGCAGATTAAGGCCAGAGCAGAGAGTAGGACCCTTCCGAGCCCCAAGCCTTGAATTCCTGTTCCTTGATCACATGGAGTAATTGCCCTGAATACAAGCTATGCCTTTAAATGAGCGGAGCTTGAATGGAAATATCCCTAAATAGCTCCACAGAGGATTCCTGCCTTCTCAACGAGACGCAGGTGTCCTTGAGAGCTTTGGTCCCAGCTGTGTAGCAGCATTTTCTACACACATACTCCCTGTGCACTCACTCCTTCCTTCTTCTCATTCCATTTCTTCTTGGGAATCTGGGAATAGAATTTACTGTCTAGGTTCTCTTCCCCTCAGATGACACCTCACCAGTCCCTGCTGTGAAACAGTGACCCCTTACATCACAGCAGCTGGACTCTCTCCACACACACACACACACACACACAAACACACACACACTCACACACACACACACACACATACACACACACTCACACACATACACACACACATACACACTCACACACACATACACACACACTCACACACAAATACACACACATACACACACTCACACACACATACACACACACATTCACAGAACCGCCAACAGAGCCCTGAGGTGCAGTGCAAAGCCTGGCCTCCCTCTCAAGGACAGGGTCTCTGTTACATGTCCCTTAGTATGGGGTACGGGGCTGTTGGTGGAATTTGCCTCCTGCTACTTTGGAGAAAGCAAAAATGGCCTTGAGAGCCAAGGACAACCAAGGTCTGTTACTCACTTGGGAGTATTTTGTCCCCCAGGCCCTTTGTCTATGGTGCCTTTTGGGGTTGGGTGGGGAGGTCATTACCAAAACTGTCTTCCAGTCTGGTTGTCCTGGCCTTGTCCCTCAGGATGGCAGTTTGCAGTGTCCAACCTGTAAGACCATCTATGGGGTGAAAACAGGCACCCAGCCTCCAGGGAAGATGGAGTACCACCTCATCCCCCACTCGTTGCCTGGCCACCCAGACTGCAAAACCATCCGGATCATCTACAGCATCCCCCCTGGCATTCAGGTGAGCCCATCCTTGGCCATCAACTGTTATAATTTTAAATGTTTGTAAGTAAATGTTTGTCTTAGTCCATTCAGGCTGCAGTAACAAAATACCACAGACTAGATGGCTTTTAAACAACATAATTTATTTCTGAGGCTAGGAAGTCCAAGGTCAACATGCCAGCAGATTCCATGTCTGCTGAGGGCCTGCTTCCTGGTTCATAGATAGCCATCTTCTTGCTGTGACCTCATACAGTGGAAGGGGAGAGGGAGCTTTCTGGGGTCTCTCTTATGAAGCACTAATCCCATTCATGAGGGTTCCACCCTCCTAATCTAATCAGCTACCAAAATCCCCCACCTCCTCATACCATCTTGTTGGGGATTAGGTTTCAACATATCAGTTTTGGGGGGACACAAACTTTCAGTCTATAGCATTCCACTCCACCCCTGCCCTTCCCAAACTCATGTCCTTCTTGAATACATTTATTCCATCCCAACAAACTCAAAAGTCTTAACTCACTCAAGCATCAACTTTAAAGTCTAAATCCAAAGTCTCATCTAAATAACACCTAAATCAGATAGAGATGAGACTCCAGGTACGATTCATCCTGGAGCAAGTTCTTCTCCAGCTGTGAACTTGTGAAACTAAACAAGTTATGTGGTCGAGCCTCACCAGACACTGAGTCTGCCGGCACCTTGATCTTGGACTTTCCAGCCTCCAGGACTATAAGAAATGAATTTCTGTTGTTTGAAAGCCACCCAGTTTGTGGTATTTTGTTAGAGCAGCCCAAACTGACTAAAATTATTATACCCTGAAGTCTTCTTTCCACTCTCATCCCCCATCTATGGGGCCTCCCCCTCCCCCATTCTCCACCATTGTGCCTACTTCCTTTTCTCTCCTTCCCGTGTTCTTTGTGCACATGCAGCAGACTGCATCCACTCCTCCCATTTTTACACAAAGTGTGACATATTAGACATATTGTTCTGCGCCCTGCATTTTTCAATGAACAATGTAGACTGTATATCTTCCCTTGTCCGCATAGAGAGAGCTTCCTCATTCTTTCTCAGCTCTGCGTGATAATCCATTGTATAAAGCTACCGTAATTCATATTCAACAGTCTCCATTTGATGGGCATATGGATTGTGTCCAATCTTTTGCTACAACAAATAATGCTGTAATGAATAACCTTGTATGCCTGTGAGTATGTCTGTAGAATAATTTTCTAGAAGTGGAATTTCCTTGTCAAATGGTATTAGCATTTGTAATTTGATAGCTATTCCTTGGCTCTGATTTTTGTGGGCATTTATTTCCTCTTTTGATTCTTTGAAAGACGGTCCTAAGGAACAAATTGAACAATTTTCCTGGCAGTCAATACAGACGCGTTCCTTTGTCACACATCGAAGCTTTTTCTAAATGCTCTAGGGAGTTTACTGGTTTCATTTCGTTAGTAAATATTTATTAGTTCACCCTCCCCTTCCCTCTCCTCCTTGCCTTTTTCCATTTTTTTCTTTCATTTAACAAACATTAGGGTGTGGGTTCTGAGCCAGGCATGTTCTAGATGCGAGAGAAACAATGGTGAGCAAAATGGACACCGTCCTTGCTCCCCTGAAATCCCCATTCTAGTGGGAGAAGGATAACAATAAAGTAAACAGATAAATAAACAAGGTTCTTCCAAATAGTGAGACATGACGTGGGAGAAACAAAACAACGGGATGTGATAGCCTGTAAAAGAATTGAATGAGAAACATAGTACTTCTTCCAGGGACCTACCAACCAGTCAGGGGGGAAATTAACTGTACATCACTAAACTACACAGCAAAGAGGACATGCACCATCGGTAAAAGCTGTGGGCGGCTTCCAATTGCTGCTGATCCTCACCAGCTGGGGACTTCGGACCGCACATGACCTTTCTGGCTCAGTTTCCTTATCTGTGCAGCCAGGAACCTATTATGCAGGGGTTTTCTGAGGATGGGAGCTATCATTATATGTACATACAGTGGGGCCTTGACTTACAAGTTTAATTTGTTCTGTGATGGAGCTCGTAACTCAAATTACTCTATGTCAAATCACTGTGACGCTCGCTGCGCCAACTAGCGGTGGGGTATCTGAAGCTGGCTCGTAACCCGAATTTTAGCTCGCAACTCAAAAAATTGGCCAAGAGACGGCTTGTATCTCGAAAAACTCGTTAGTTGGGACGCTCATAAGTCAAGGCCCCACTGTATTGTGGTGCTGGGCACAGCACTGCAGTGCCCAATCCCTGGTCACCACCGTTATGGGAATATCCTCACTATTGGAGTATCCCACTTGTCTGGGTAAGGAGGAGGGCCCGTGTCTGTCTCACTGGGAGGGTCGGAGGAGACTTTCTGGAGCAGGGCAGTTGCTAATAGTCTCTGAAAGACATGAAGAAATGGAGAAGAGAGATTTTAGTAGGAGGCGACCATAGAGTCCTAGAGGAGAAAAGGTTGGGGTGTTGAAGGGCCATGAGGAAGTGTTTCATTTGGGGCATCGCTGGTTAAGGTCATGATTTCATTGCCCTTTCTCAGCCCCGGGAGGCTTGGGATTTCATGAAGAGTGGAGACCTTCAGCTCAGCCTTCACTGCAGAGAACAGTTCCCTGGGGGAGAAACTCAAGCCCAGTCGTGACTGCTTCACTTAGCAATGCACCAGGAGCACTCAGCCTTGCTGGGTCAGCGCCAACAAGCATCTGTGCCTTTGCAGGGCGGGCCTGTCCCAGGCAGGAGAGGGGCAGGCAGAGCCCTGCTGGGAACTGGCCCTTCAGTAAGGCAAACTGGCTCAGAAACAGGCGTGGCCATGGGGATGTGGCAAATGTGGAGTGATTTCATGTGACTATGAAATCCAGGACTGTGCAGTCCTGCATCTCCCAGAGGACATGGTAGCTCTTTCTGAGACCAGACACACTTACAATGCCATTCGGTTTGCAAAGTCATAGGTTCTCTTGAACCAAGCCATTAGAAATATTTTGAATTCCAGAATTTTAAAATCATTTTGGAATCATCCTTGTGCATCATAAAAGAAAGTGAAGACTTTGTGATTTCTTGCAGTTTCCTACGTTCCCACGCTTATTCATTCACAAGGACATATTCACCGATCATCTGTGTGGGGAGCCAGTACCAGGACAAGCTTGGAATTATTAATATTATATAGGTTTTATATTATACTAGAGGCCCAGTGCATGAATTCATGCACAGGTGAGGTCTGGCCTGCCCCAGTTGGGCTGATGGACCAGGCCGGCCAGGGGGAGGGGCCGCAGGTAGTTGGCCAGCCCCGATGGCGGGGTGGGGGTAGTGGGGAATTGAGGGTGAGGCCAGCTGGGGGAAGGGGCCACAGGTGGTTGGCCAGCTGGCCCCACCCCCTGGTCGAACTCCAGTGGAGGGGACAATTTGCATATTAGCGTTTTATTATATTGGTTCTACATTAATCTGGAAGAGATGTTAAAACAGGTTTCACAGATTTTGAAGGGGTCTGGGATAATCAGAAACAATATACAAACATTTGTATATAATGAAAAAAATATGTTACTTGGCAAAATCCCTCACTTTTGATGAATTTCTCAAAAGGGCCTGACTGGGCATCCTGGTTTCTAGCTACATTCTACTTTAGTTTCTTTTCCACCCAGTGGCCTGGGACTGCTTCATGGGACTGGGTGTCAACAGTTGAAATGTTAGATGTTTAGTCATGAATTTCCCAATCCACATTATTAAACAAGAAAACAAACCAAAACACACACACACACACACACACACACACACACACAACAACAACAACAACAACAACAAACAACCATGAGGACAAAGGAGAAAATGCACAAGAATCATTCAGATCATTCTGACTGTGCAGCTCAGAGCTGAGAGGCACTTGTATTGTTCTGAGTGGTTTGGAGGTAAAAAGTCCAGATTGTGCCTCAGAGATCCTGGGCTTGAGTTTTGGCAAAGCCACTAACACTATAGAAGTCATTTCTCTTGTAAGGGCTGTATTTCTCTTTTGTAAAACCAGTCAGAATAGATGTGATGCTAAACATGTAGTGAGCTCTTAGTATGCAAGCAGGCGCCACGCTCATTTAGCATTCATAACAATCACACAAGATGAGATTCTATATCCGTCCTGTTTAATGGATGGGAAACCAACGCCCCAAGAGAGGGCTCCAGCTGACACAGCTGGGAGGCTGCAGCTTGGGTCCAAGCCCAGGGCTTCACTCCTGCTGCCTTTGGGGTCTGTTCTCTGTCTATACCAGGGGTGGGCAAACTTTTTGACTCGAGGGCTACAATGGGTTCTTAAACTGGACCGGAGGGCCGGAACAAAAGCATGGATGGAGTGTTTGTGTGAACTAATATAAATTCAAAGTAAACATCATTGCATAAAAGGGTACGGTCTTTTTTTTTTTTTTTTTAGTTTTATTCATTTCAAACGGGCAGGATCCGGCCCGCGGGCCGTAGTTTGCCCACGGCTGGTCTAGACCCTAAGACCATTATTATTGTCTTTATTATTTACATTAGTCCCAGCCTACATCCCCTCATCAGAAATATGTTGAAAAATGCCCTTTGTTGCCTGGCTGGTATGGGTCAGTGGTTGAGCATTGACCTATGAGCCAGAAGGTCACAGCTTGATTCCCGATTGGGGCACTTGCCCAGCTTTCAGATTCAATCTCCAGTAGGGGGTGTGCCGGAGGCAGCTGATCAGTTTTTCTCTCTCATCATTGATGTTTTTATCTCTCCCTCTCCCTTCCTCTCTCTGAAATATATATATACTGATTTTTTAAACGCCCTTTGTTTTCTTTCTTTACTTTCAGGGACCAGAACACCCAAATCCTGGGAAGAGCTTCAGTGCCCGTGGTTTCCCGAGACACTGTTACCTTCCAGACAGTGAGAAAGGGAGAAAAGTAAGAACCCCGATATCAAGTTATTTACTTCTATGTTAAGGACCCAAGTTTTGCTTCCAAGGTAAAGAGAACTGTGTCTCTCTCTTAGCTACAGATGCACATGGTCACAAGATCATAGTTGAGTCAACCATAGGTAAGGATGGATATGATTAGAAATTTTTTTGTAGGATGGTGGGGCAATAATTAATCTATTTTAGAATCCTCCCCTTAGGACTTTGCTGCTTAACAGATGTCCTAGGACCAACATCTGAAAACTTGATTGAAATTCAGAACCATAGAACCTGCTTCATTTTAACAAGATCCCAGGTGACTGAAAGCACATTAAAGCTTGAGAAGCAGTGCTGCGAGGCAGGGAACAGTGGCTCATAGTGTTAATGTCTGCTACCTTATTACTACGACTCCCCACCTCCAGCCCATACCATGTTTATGGTTGTTCAGTTTTTAACCCAACGCATTTTATCAGGTGCTGGACACGGTGTTAGGCGTTTGTCTCGCTTAACAAAGATACATATTTTTAAATTTTAGCTGAATTAGAACATTCTGCAAGCCCTAACACCTCTCTGGGCCTCACCTGTAATATAGAGACGATTAAGCGCCAGCCAGACCTCACTCAAAGTGTGGGTGTGAGGACCGGATGAGCAAATAAATATGAAATGGCCTTGAAGAGGTCAAAGCCCTTCAACCTTGTCATTGCAGAAATATTCCACAACTTCAGCTGTGGGTAAATGAATACCACATCCAGATGGGGGTGTCAGGTTATTCACGGCTGTGTTACGGACCCAAGCAAAACTTGGGGGTGGGGTGGGGTGGGGTGAGGGTGGCGGGCACAGCTTCTGAAGGTCTCAGATCAGAAGTTCCTTGAGCCCTAGCTGGTTTGACTCGGTGGATAGAGCATTGGACTGCGGACTGGAAAGTCCCAGATTAGATTCCAGTCAAGGGCACATGGTTGGTTTGCGGGCTTGATCCCCAGTAGGGGGCCTGCAAGACGCAGTCAATCAATGATACTCTCTCATCATTGATGTTTCTATCTCTCTCTCCCTCTCTCTTCCTCTCTGAAATCAATATGTATATATATACTTATTTTAAAAAAAGAAGTTCCTTGAACTCCTAGGTCCTAACTTTCAAAATGCAGCTGTGATATTGGTAGCTAATATTTGTTGAATAGTGTGTTCCAGACACTGCTATTAAGCTACTTTTCACGTAGCAACTGCTAAACTACTCACAGCCTTTAGAGGTAGGTCATACCATTGCCGTTCTATAAATAAGGAAATTAAATCTCAGAGAGGTTATCTAACTTGTCCAAGGTCACACAGTTAGGCAGTGACAGAGCAAAGACTTACCTGCATGTCCCTGAATCCACATCCAAATCTTCCCTTCACTTAGGGCAGTGGTTCTCAATCTTCCTTATACCGCGACCCTTTAATACAGTTCCTCATGTTGTGGTGACCCCCAATTTCATTGTTACAAATTGAACATAATTAAAGCATAGTGATTAATCATAAAAACAATATGTAATTATATATGTGTTTTCTGATGGTCTTAGGTGACTCCTGTAAAAGGGTCATTCGACCCCCAAAGGGGTCGCGACCCACAGGTTGAGAACCGCTGACTTAGGGCATCACGATGCAAGAAGGGGTGGGGCCCTTTGCAGGACTCTCTACCATCCAAATGGTAGCCTTTGGTCAACACTAAATGCCTGACTTTGATCTCCTGCCTTTTCTCTTGTAGGTTCTGAAGTTGCTGCTGGTGGCCTGGGATCGCCGCCTCATTTTTGCCATTGGTACCTCCAGCACGACGGGCGAGTCAGACACCGTCATCTGGAATGAGGTTCACCACAAGACAGAGTTTGGCTCAAATCTCACTGGCCATGGCTACCCAGATGCCAATTACCTGGATAATGTGCTGGCTGAACTGGCTGCCCAGGGCATTTCTGAGGACAGCACTGCCCAGGAGAAGGACTGAACAGGAAGGGCTTTGGGGGAGAGGGACTGTGGGGACCACAGGGTAGGAAGTGGGGAGAGTCAAGGTAGAAGTTGGTGCAGTGCCCTCCCGACTCCCTCATCTCCCCTCCTGTCCTGTCTCCATTCCCCATCTCTCCCAGCCACAGGGGGGAGCCAGATTGAGTAAGGGAATGTTATTCATAAACCTCATCCATTACAAAAGGGACATGAGATGAGGGCCATCCCCAGTCTGTTCCCATGGGGTTTTCAGTGCTGGGTAGTCAAGAACACTGTCCCTCACCCCCTAAGTGGGGGCATGGTCAGCACACTTAAGGTGTGGACAGTGCATGGGCACTCCATATCCTGGCCTCGTGAAGCCTGAGGGTCATGGCCTCAGCTGGCTTCTTGCTGCTTCCACTTCCAAAAGTGGAGTTTCCGCTTTTCTCTCCTCTGCTGGAGGCGAGGAGCTCTCACTGTGCAAGTTTGGGGGGCAAAGAGGTGAACCGCTAAAATGCTGTGACATCAGAAATCAATGCCTCGGTGTAGAGTGAGGAAGCGCTTCTTGCCAAGAGGGTCAGGGAGGCAAAGGCCTCTGAGAGCACACTCACTTCTCATAAGAGTCCTTGGCTTCTCTGGGCCCTCCTTCCTCCTCACACCATTGACCGGTCCAAAGAGGCATCTGCTTCTCTCATGCAGATGGATGGGCTCTGGGATTCCTCTCTGGGTGGCATCCCAAGGTGTTTCCAGTCACTCATTGATCAGACCAGAGCCTGCATCCCATTTAGCATCTGAACTGTCCTCAGGGAGAGGAGTCCATAGTCTTCTTCCAAACTCATCCGAGATCAGCTCAAAGATTCCATGAGTTTCATCAAGTCACTGTGAGTAGAGCCTGTGCTGGGCTCTCTGCCATCTGTGTATGTGCATATGTGTGTGTGTGTGTGTGTGTGTGTGTGTGTGTGTGTGTGTACGTGCACATGTATACCACTGGGCCAGGTTGGTGGAGAGTCCCATCATGTTCTCACAGTCTGTTTTGCAAGATGTCAAACCCCAATTCTGATGGGGATCAGACAGCCCAGCCGTGACCCCTCGACTTCTCTCACCCTTTGCCAACCCATCACATAGTAAACTTGGGTTCTGATCAAGTCAGAACTGTGTTTGGGGAGATATGCAAGGTGAGGGCTGGACTGACCCCTTTTTCAATCTCTTTCAAGATTGGATCTGAGCCAATATCCATCCAGCCTTGTTTCTCTGAGGGCTTCAATATGTATCCATGCAAATTTGTTCATTAGAGCCCAGGGGTGGTGCTGGGCCTCCCATTTCCCTTGTCCATTGCAGATTGACCTAGAACATGGAGAGAGCCTCTTTAGCTCATTCGTAACAGGCTTAGCACCATCTTATGGTCTAGTCCAACCTGTGTATGGGTTGTGTCCCAAGACCCTATCTATCTCTTCCCCAATATTCCTCTTGCCTTTGGCTTGCTCCCATTATTAAATGAATTGGGGGTCAGTGAGGAGAGAAGGGGGATCAAGCAGGGAAACCCAATTTCCCCTTTGAAAGTGGGTTCTTTGAACTATATGTTTGGGGAAATTCCTCTGGATACTAATTTGAATTTATATACCTCATGTTTTGGGGGTTTGACGTATATATATATATACATATATATTTCATAATATTTGGGAGGTTTTTGATGCTAGAAAATTTGAAACAAATGAACCTTCAAAAAATGGTACTTAAATTAGAACCAGAAACCAAGCTTTTCAGAGCTGCTGCTCTTAGGCCTGCAGCTGTGACCAGTGGATTTACCTAAGTATCACCCAGTTCCCCGGGGACGCTGGTGCTGAGCCTTTCCTCATTTTCCCACTGGCTGTCTGGACAGTCATAGGCTGTAGCAGGGGGAGTTCTGATGGGGAGAATTGTGTCTGCCATCTTGGTTCTGGTCTCTCTCATAAGTCAGCAGTCATTTATCTCACCAGCAAACTGGGTGGTTGGTCCTGAGTTCACTGCACCAGAGTCATTTCCTGCCGCTGTTGGGAAGGAAACACCCAAACTCAAGAGACACCCCTGCAGTGTTGAATGTCACCCCCATGCCCTCGCCAGGCTCCCATATAGGAGAGGTCATTAGAGAGCTTTACAATGGGCCACTGCCATCTCCGCCTCCACCCTTGTCACCCACAGTGATGAGGAATCAGATGGAGGGTCAGTGGATAGGAGCCCAGTTGTGTAGTAGAAGGGGAAGAAAGAAGACATGCCTTGACAACTGGCAATGGGCAATGGGGAGAAACTGATTTTCTGCATCAGGCAAAAGGAAGTGTGGGTGGGAAAGGGGACCCAGAGAGTATACAACGCAGGATATATGCCAGGGGAAATGCCACTTTGAGAGTAAGTCTTCAGACCTTCAAGCCCTTCCCCTGGGGCGTTGATTATCTGTTCCCCATTTCTCTTCCTCTCTGAGGATGCTCAGTTGGGGCTACCTCATCCTCATCTTCTTGTGGGACATTCTGGGCAGAGGGAATCTTGCATTTCCTTTCTAACACTGTGCCAGGCAAGGTGGGAAGCATTCCTTTGCCCTTTCTCTGGAGCCGGCTTGAAAAGGTACAGTCTCGGGTTCAGTGAGGACCCTGCCAGCAGAGGCCCTGGGCATCCAGCACTTTGAACAGGTATGTCCCCACCAGAAGGCCTGCTGAACTCCCTGGCCCACGCAGGGATGTCCATGCCTTTCCTTTCATCGTCTTAGCACCAGCAGCCCAGTTCCTCCCTCCCTGAGTCTCCAGGGATGACAAACCCTGTCAGATGCTCATCCCATAAAGATTAATTGTGCATATGTGGTTGTGTGTGCCTTTATGTTTTCATCCCTTTCCTCTGTGATTTTAGACTTGGTCAAAAGTACTCGTCCTGGTATTGCACTGTTGTGTGCATGAGAAGACTGGGGGAAGGCCCCATGTGGTACAAGAAAGGGTCCTGTGCCCTTTCTTTGCCTGTGGTCACTGGCATTGAGTGGGGGTGGGTTTCTGGGAGAGGGCAGGTGACTGTCCTAATGTAAATCATTGTGACTGCTGTGTTTTGAAGTTGTTGGTGTTGCTCTGTGAGAGGACATCGCCACCTGGTGCTCATGAGCTGTACATGCAGAACAATAAATGGCAAACAACCACAAATTGTTGTCAACCTTCTTCTTTCTATAGATCAGGTGCCTGTCCGTGAGGCATTTGGGGTAACTCCCTGAGCCTGTAAATAAACAAAGCCCTCCTACTGGGTGGAGTAGGGGGAGTCCCTTTTCTCTATTTTTTGCACATATTTCCAACCACACATTTGCCCAAGGGACCTGGCTTGACTTCTTGTTCCTCTAAAGAAAAACAGACCATATGACAGGGGAAATAAATGAACCTGAGGGAAAAACTTTTTAACAACTATGAATGTTCACTTCTTACAGTTCCCCTTACCTGACCACACTAGAGTGTATGTTTCAATAGTTCACAGGCTGTTGTTTTTCAAATAAATGTTTAGCATGAATCATCATGATATTAACAAGAGCACAGAAATAAAATGCAAGAGTAAAGCCACCTTTGTTCCCCAAAGCCACCTTTGTCTGCATTTCTGAGAGGTCACACAGTGTGGTTTTCTTGAAATCTGGATTGGCCTTCCCACAGGCCCCAGCCTGGGCTCATCAGCAGGAAAGCAGGCCTGGGAGCCCTCCCCTCCGGGCTCTGACTTGGTAAAAGCACTGTGAACTCCCAAGTTCCGATTTCCTCTGGGTGAACAATCAGACAGTGTTCCTTAAGTACATATTTCAGTGCTTATTTATGTGCAATTTTGTTAGTTGAAATATGTTTGTAAAGAAAAAGAGAGGGAGAACTCATGGACATGACAACAGTGTGATGATTGCACGGGGGAGGTGGGAAAGGGTATAGGGGTATACATGGTGATGGGGAAAAAGTAAAGTTAAATAAGTTAGCCAAGGTTTTCACTTGCATGGGCAGTTATTGCATTGAAAGTCTGGAAGCCACAGTTCTATTTTGTCTCTCTGACTCAGTCCTCTTCAAAGAATTCCTGGGAAAGGCAGCAGAAGAGTGGATAGTTTGGCTGAAAGTAATCCACAAAACACCCAGAAGTTTAGAGGAACATTTTAATGCTTAAGAGGTGAGGCCAAGTGAGGTGGTTGTAGACATTGGTGCCCCTGGCTGGGCTCCACTTCTGTCACTTATTTCTCTTCATCACAGCAGGGGTTGAGGGATGGTCCTCCCTCTCATGGCCTCACAGGCTGGGATGCTCCAAGCTCCTCCAAAGAAGGACCAACTGTAAACCTAAGCTCCTGATTGTGAATGTGAATGGGGGAGGACAAACTATCCTCCACAGAAGATCACTCACTAGTGATTTTATTTGGTGAGAAATATGTAACTTTTTAAAATGTGGTGGAGGAACATTGATAGTCTCTCTGATCATTGCAGTTAGGTGAGATTGGTACTAAAACTGGGTGAAGCCTCAAGTGCCAGGTAACAAGCATGCATCCTGTCAGGTGCCTTCAGGAGGTCAGCCTGGAACTGAAGGGAATACGTCACAAATGCTGTTGAATGCCTTTTTCACTTCATTTAAAAGCATGGATTTGATCATGCTGGCCCCCTTGCTTCTGGTAAGATAAAGGCAGGAGGGTACATATGCGGTGTCTAGTCTGTTTTGGTTGTCAGGAGAATGAAAAACTTAGCTGTGGGCTTACTTTGACTTTTTGCTTTATTCCTTGTCTCCCATCCCCAGAAAAACACAAACTTCTTGTTGGAATGTGATGTATGAGGCTGGGGATGCATGTGATAGGAGTCAGGAAAGACAAGGGCCATTCATGGAAGAGGAAGGGGTTGTACTTTCGTAACATAGACCAGGAAACTGCAATACTTAATCCACCAAATCTATGCTCTTTTCTTTGCCCTGTTTATGAGGAGCTAAGAGAAAGAAGCCAGGTAGTTGGTTGTGAGCAAGAGTTCCAGTTTCCTCTGAGTACCAAACCCTTTTCCAGTTTTTATCCTTTTTTCATTTACTCCTTTTCTGCATATTATTCCTTCTCACTTGACATCCTAATAGAAGTTTATAAGTTAAAATATTTCTGAGGACTTTATGAACTAGACCAAAGTCCAAAGGTGATCTGATTTAAGTAAGCATTAAATTGTGTGGAAGTTGGAAAACATAGATTTGGTATAAGCAACATGTTTCTGTTCAGATGATGTTGAGATGACCCAGAGGAGACGACACAGCCCATCAACGCAGAGCCCTCAAAGCTAAAAAGCTGTGGCCAAGCAGGACTCTTGTGTCCTCTGGGGGCTCTGTCAGCCTCCGGGAACATGAGATCCAGACAACTCTTAAAAACAAGATAGCTGGAGGGTAACACTTAAAGACAAGAATTCTTTTTTTTTTTTTTCAAGACAGAAATTCTTATAGCTCATGAATTGGAAACCATGGCCAACCTCAGATTAAATACATCATTTCCAAATTCAAATAGCAACATTCTCCCACCTTATACCCGACTTTTTACATGTATGCATTCAGGTGAAAATAATTAATGGTGCACATAGAGAAAAGACACCCCCTTCATGTTTTAATGCCCAGAATGACATTTGCTTAGAAAGTCACAACTCCTCCCCAATCCTCACCCCAAACTCGCCCATGTAGCTCTATTAATTTCCGGCCCAGAGACCAAAGGTATACCTGCTTTTGGTTGCACTTGCCACTTTAATAGTTAGAAAGGCAGAAATGTAGAGAGAAGGAATGAAAGACATGCTTGAAGCTCTGTCTGCAAATGAAGCATTTCCTCAGGAGAAATTTAGGCTGGACACTGCTCCTGCTCTTGGTCAGGAGTGTCTTCCGTCCCTGCAGTGCCAGGAGCCAAACTCTGCCTCTCTTCCTCAATTGCCTGGTATCCCCTCTTCTTGTACTTCCGGATGCGATAGATCACCAGGGCAATGACAACTGCCAAGACAGTGGTGACCCCCACTGTAACCCCAGCAGCTGCCCCCCCCGACAGACCACTACCATGCCCATGGATGACCTTCATGGCCCTGCGAAGCTCTAACGGCTCTCCCAACCTCCACTGGTTGGTCTGGAAGTCTTTAATCCAGGAGCTTGAAGTCTCAGTATTAGTCACGATGACAGTGTTGGTGGCAGCCTGGCTCATAAGGGGTGGCCGGGTATAAGGTGGGAGCCTGGCAGGGGGCAGAGACCCTCCTGTAAAGAGCCCAGACTTGACACAGTAGGATACTTGGCACCCATCGCTGATGAAGGCTAGATGTTGGCTAAAGCCCCCAGGACACTTTTTCAGAGCAGGTGCCCCTAAGTCTCTGGATATGGTAGAATCTACCAAGGGGTTCCCAACTGCACAGCTGAAGAACCCACCAAAGGGGACTGAAAACTTATATCCCAACTCATAGTCCTGAGAGACACATACCTTGAGGCTTTCAAAGAGTCTTAGTGGAAAATAGCCAGCTGGGCATGACTGTGCATTTGTCAGAGGGTTAATGCTCTTAGCACTGAAGAGACCCCCAAAAAGTAGTCCTGAGTCTTCTGGTACTTCACCACTGGCCACACACCAAAAAGCCCTAAATTCGGCCTTTGCCACTCGGAACACATCTTCACACACTGTCTTGCAGAAGATGAAGAGGGTGCACTTCCGGACACACTCCAGGCCATTATAGCCCTCCTCGTGGATCTGGGTCAGGAGGCGGATTGGGGAGTAGCCAGAGGGGCAGGAGAAATCACCAGTGAGTGGATTCTTCTGCTCCAAGTTCTGGCAGACTTGGACAGCCCCATTCCCTGACAGCTGAGTGCATTCCTGATAAACCCCACCAAAGGAGAAGTTGGTCATTTTCCCTTCACAAGAGCCATCATCAGTGTTGGCCTGAAAATTGAAGTTAGGCGAGTTGAGATCTGTGCAGCCAGGGTAGGTGTTGAACGTGTAGTAGCGTCTCACAGCAGATTCCACCGTCTTAGACAACTTCTTCACCAATGGCCCTGGCAAGTCAGGCAGCATGTCAGGGTTGATGAAGAAATTCAGAGGCAGGCCAGCACGGTCTATGGCCACCAGGTGGTTGGTGATGCCCTGCTGCCAGGTCTGGAGGGTGATGCCTGGGTAGAAAGGAACCCCTCCAATGCTCTGCACCCTGGAGTGGGTGCGGTTTGAGAGGTAGCTCTTGGTGAAGGCATTCTGCGAGGTATAGTTCTCCTCAAATTTGAAGTTCACGATGTTGTGGAAGACAGCTCCAGCAGATGCAGTCACAGCACTACGGCTGCTCTGGCTGTCCAGGAGAAAGGAGGATCTGATGTGGTCTTCCTGAATGAGAGCAGCCCCAGCATCCACACTGGTGATAACATGGGTGCCATAGTTGAGGACCAGGAGCTCTGCCAAGTAGGTGGCCATTCGTGTCTGGTTGTTTTCCAGACGGTCACAGATGTCCAAGAGCAATTTCTTAAACTCCAAGTTTAGTTCTGAAACTGGGTTGATTTTGACTGTGTAGATCAGGTTTCTTACCTGAACCTGGGTGGTTACAGCTTGGTCCTTCACCTGAAGCGTCTTCATCCTCTGGAAATCTGGGGAGAACTTGCCATTGACTTTGGAAAAAAGGGAGAGCTCCATGTTGATGGAGAAAGAGGTGCTGCTCTGGTAATTCACCCAGGACTCCAAGATTTCTGAGTTCATCTCCAGGTTGCTCTGTTTCTGAGGAATGGTCAAGATTTCATCAGGGATGATGTACTGTCCATCCTCCGTGGTCCTGCAGTCGGTGTAAGTCAAGTCCATCACCCGTCCCATGTCCACATTCCGTAAATTATCCCAGCCACCTCCAGGTAAGACTTCCAGCACAGGTAGGTTTAAGGCATTCTTGCATTTTTGAAATCCAGCCTCATCGGCCTCACCCAGAGGCTTGTCCATCTTAGCCCATGCTGCCACTGCCCAGAAGAGGACAGCACCCCTGAAGCTGGTCATGGTTCAGACAGACTCAGCGGCAAGCCAGCCCTAAGCAGCATCCAGCAAGTGTGGTGCAAGCTGAACCAATGTGAAAGAGCAATTGCTGAAACTACAAAAAAAAAAAAAAAAAATTCAATAGTTCTCCTAAAGCCACCAGTTCCGCTTTAGGCTACTGTAATTGCAAAATGGGGAAATGAGTCGACTGGAATACTGTGGTCCATCAGGACTTTGAAAAAATTATGGTGTACTAAATAGCCTTAACAGTTAACTACTCTAACTGTTCCCCCACGGCCCGCCAGGTGGTTACGTTGTGGCAGTAGGGGGTACTCAGAAGTTCAACCACACACCTTACTGTTTCCTCCACACGAGTTTTCTAGCTGTAAAAGAAAGCTTTGGTTTTGCTTTCGATTCATTCTCTTGATGTTTCAAAGTTTTTCTGACTGCTCTTTCCTGGAACTCCAATATTAGTGTCTTCAAACTGCAAATGCAGAGGTAAATGATAATATCACGCTTGCCAAGACACCGACTCCTCCATACCTATTCTAGAGGTAGCTCATGGCCAAAGCCCGGATTTCCCATTCACCTGAGGGTGAAGGTTGTTCCCACAGAAGAAAGGAGAGAAAATCTTGGACATGAGTCCTGTGGAGTTTCATTGTGATAAGCCCGAATAGTCCCGGCTTTGGAGATGGCATTATCTGAGGCGGAGTTGAAGGGATCTGAAGAGGATTCCACTTGCTACACACCGGGAACCTCAGTTTGCATTGTCCTCAGCATTCAGAGTGAAGGTGAGGGGTCCCACTCTGTGCTGTTGTTTCTTTTCAGATAGAAATGTTTAAACAAAGAGAAAACCCACACTATAGTCTAGATTTTTGATTTGGAAATAGCAGACAGTGGCCAAAGAATATACAGTATGTATATACACCCTTATACACCGTGTGTGTGTGTGTGTGTGTGTGTGTGTGTGTGTGTGTGTGTGTGTTTTGTGTGTGTGCGCTCGCTCGTGTGTGCAATAATTTGGTACCTGCTGTTATGCCTCTCATTCTATTCTTAAGCCCATGTAATGAGTACAGGGGCCTAAAAAAGAATGTAGGTCTTCATTACTCAGTTTTTTAAAGCAACAGTTCATTTGTTATATCATTAGAACACAATTTCACAAATTTTCTTTAGTGTACTAATGTTAGGGCATTAGAGCCCATAATTTAGAATAGTGTTTTTAGGCTAATTGATCTCGTGCCAGGATTAACTAAAGCCCAGATCTGTCAATTCTTTGGGACAACTAAGGTGCATTTTAGGATATTTGTTGGTAGCCAAAGAATCCAGGGGAGTTAATGGGATTCCCAATGCACTCTCATGGCTTCCCAGATCAGACCATGAGGAGATGCAGTCCTGAGGTTGAAAAGGTTATGCTTTGATTTGTTAAGTATCATTATTCTATCACCTGTATGCATCCTGGAAAGACAGTTTCAAGGAATTGAATTACCTCAGATTGTCACCGTGTTTTCAGAAGTCATGAGGCCAGTTGCCTGGTTTCACAGAGTGAGCTTCACTAGTTATTATTAAAATAATAATTATATTGTGTTCTGTAAATCTAGAAACAGACATTGTGGGTCTATTCATGCATCAGTTATCACACTTCAGGGAATTCACCTACACCCAAGAAGGATTGATTTATCAACCAGTGCCCAGTATATACTTGGCTAGAGAAGCAAACCGATACACAGGATGTCCTGGTCAATTTCCAAATCAGTTATAAATGTATAGCTCAGTAGAATAATCCAAGAATTAGAAAAAGTAGAATTCAATGCCCTTTAGTACTTCCAATAAGTCTGTTAAAATATCCACACACTTTTCTTCAAATTGTTTCAGGGTTAATTCATCAGAATGAGAAAACTCTCTCATACAGTTTTGAAGACATGCTAACAATGTTGTACTCTTGATTATCCCTTTAATAAATCCTGTTAATAAATCTTCTGCAATGAGAATATAAGGCAAATGTTGATAATTCTATATTCAGGTGTTCCCACATCCTAACATTTGTCATTTTTTTAGACAGCTTTCTTCTTCATTTTTATCATAGCAAAAATTGAAAATAGCTAAAAGAGCCAATTGGAGTGAAATTATATTGCATCCATATGACATAATATATTATAGCCATCATAGTTGAATATTCAAAAAATTTTAAGAACATGAGAAACTCTTGTGCCATAATGTTAAGTGAAAAAAGCATGGTATACATTCAACATGACCTCAGCTGTGTATAAATATATGCCTGTTGACAGTAGTTATATCTGATTGGTAGGTTTTGTGGACCCTGAGATAAAAGAATCGTTTGATATGACACACCAACAAGTTTATCTGCTGAGGTGGACTCCCCATGTTCAACCAAGGATCCCAATCTTATGAATACTAGAATCCAGTGGCCACTTACTGACAGGGGTTCCTCATGTACTCTGTATACTGGGAAGAACCTCAGACTGGACCTCTGGCTTCCCACACTATGCTCTCCACTCCCATTTATACCATCTGAGTCAATCATTGCAGGGAAGCCCTGATTTAGTCTTTCTAGCAATGAGACATGCCCGGTCCAATCAGAACTGTGCAAGTCACTCGCACCTATATCGGCCAATCAAAACTGCATGATTTAGATGAATCAGAACTGTATGATTTTGATACCTCATTTACATATTGACAACTGAAGTGGAAATTTTCACTGTAGAAAGTGTTGCCTCCCCTTTGTCTCAGTGGAACACAATTTAGATTGCTACCTGAATCTGTGTCTCCCAGGCTGTAGCTCCTTTTGCCTCAAATAAATGCTTTTTATTTTTTATTAGTCTAAAATTAATTTTGGTTTATAGTTGTATGAATTATTTAAACTTTTTCCTCTTTTCTGTGGTTTTTCAGTTTTCAACAATAAGCATGTCTTTAATCATTTGACAAATTTTTCTTGAGAATCTACTAAGTACCAAACACAGGGATGGGTACTGAGTAATCATTACTTTTGTACTCAAGAAAATAACTGACAGGTATACATTTAAAAAAAAAAGAAGAAGAAATTATTTCTGAAATTTCCATATATCTGAAATATCTCAAAGCCTATGACTCTGATTGCTATGCTCAAGGAAGTTCTCTTTTGTATTCCCTGGGAAACAATGAAAAGAGAAGGGCAAATGATGGGAATTTCAGTTCAACTTCAATTTGCATGCCAGCAGCAGGCATTGCTGCTCACAATGGTCAAAGGTGAGGAAGCAGCCCGCAGAGTTTGACCTGAGTGTTACACTCACTTCTTTCTTGCTTGACTCTATTCACCAGCAATTTCCTCTACTTTTTTTCTTGTACAGAAATGCTTATGCAATCGCATAAACTCTCCAGATGGCTACCCTCAAGGGCCCCTGTCTGAAAACTGAATTTTGGTCTCTAAAAGAAACAGCTAACTTTTCTACATAAGGTATCCATCTGTGTTACAGAAGAATAATTTCACTTCCTCCAAAAAGAGGCAAGAGGGAAGTCCCGTGTCTGCTTTCTTTCTCAGTTTGAGCGCGTGCAACCTTCTGGCATCATCTCATGCAAAGCCAAGCCATGATTCAGGCCTGAGGTTCACTTCTGTGTGGGCTTGGAGCTGGTCCAGGTGTTTCCTACTTCCACATTTCACTGTGGTCTGAAATGGTGTGTGTTGGGGGGGAGGGGGGTGTTGGGGGGAAGAGTCTGGCTGTGTTTTCAGGGACCGTTTCCTTTCTTATTTTTAGCAGAAATCTGGAAAAACAGTCTGAAAACTTACACTCAAACAATTTCTAAATGGATCACAGAACTATGACTTTTATAGACTCTGGAATAAACTTGGTTCTAGAAAAATCTAGAAGGTATCAGTCAACCAGGTAATAATATTTTTTTCCTGAACTGTTGATTCCTAACCTGATAGAGTTGTTTTGTCAGTTCTTCCCTTCAAAGACTGTTCTCCCATTCAGATTGTTTGTGTCCTGACCACATAAATAGGAACATAGGGGTTTCTTGACTCCAATTAATCTTGTGGGCAAAAACCGAAGGCCCATGTGAAATTCTGCATATTCCCATTAAAAGCTAGGTCATAATTTGGCAGCCTTCAGCTATTTGATTTTTTTCTCTACTAACACTTTTCCCTCCCAATTTTCCTAATTCTTTTTTCTCTTCTTCCACTCTTCTCATTCTGCTCTTATCTCTTCACCATTTCCATATTTATGTTCAGAGGATACAAGTCTGTGATTTGAGGTGATACTTCCACTGCACTAAAGAAGGAAATCTGATTTGGCAAAGACTTAGTCTCCCCACCCCCACCCACCCACCCCCACCCAGGGTTCAAATTTTATTTATTTCTTTTCTCTTTTTTTAATTTTTAAATTAAATTTCTTTGGATGACATTGGTTATATGAGTATATATGTTTTGAGCGTACAATTCTATGATATATCATCTGTATATTGCTTTGGGTGCCCATCACCCAGTGTCAAATGTAATGCTCTTTTAAGAGTCTGGTTGACTGACTAAGCCTTCAAAGCCATCCCTCCTTTCCATCTACTCTCTAAGCTGAGTCCCACAGAGACTGAGGAGTTAGGGCCACGCTCCTCCCCTCTGCCTCAGGTTTCCTAATGACATCAGCCTAGTGTGAAGAATGCCTCTTGTGTTCTGCTTCAGCTGAAAACAGCTTGACAAGGGGGCCTCACACACAACAGGACTGGAAACGCAGTGGGATTTCTCTGATGTCCTCACTGCTCCATCCCCATGTCTTTCCTGTTATGAAACTTCCTCTTGGAGGATGATTTGAGCAAAAGAAGTAACTGGGTGGCATCTGGCCTCTCTGGGCTAACTCCTGGCAGATTGCATGTTTCTATATTTGTTTCGTTATTGGGTAACATAAACCCAATCTAACATTCAGTTTTTCACTTTTTTACAATAAGATCTTCAGATGGACTTTGAGCAGTGACAAAGTAAAAATTACCACCACTTTTCTTTCTACGTAAAATAATCATTAAGTATGTTTTAATCATAAGTAGATTAAAGTGAAAAACAAGTGAGTTAGCCCTAGCCAGTTTGGCTCAGTGGATAGAGTGTTGGCCTGCAGACTA